GCTACTTTTTTCAATCATTACGACAGCTTTCATTCCTACAATTAGCAGAATGAAGAAAATGCCTTCCACAAGTTGGTTAAATCTCGAATTCCTGCACCAATTCTTCTGTTGTAATAATAGCCGAAATTTATTTCGCCTTGATAAATAGTATTTTAATTAATAAAAGTTTATTTTATGACTAGTAATTTGCAGTTAAGGTTCATAAGTTATGAGTATTTTCTATTACAAAATTATAAGCATTGCAATTTGGTATGAAAATGTATTTCACCGATCGAAATATACATCGCTGATAAGTTGTTTAAAACATCGTAAGATTGAAAAGTGTAAATAAGTTATATTTGTTAATTAATTGATCATATTATTAAAATAAAGTATATGCAACTGTACTTATTAAAAAATGAGATGAAATAACAATGTGATAAAATAAGTTGTATTTGTAAATTAATAAACTGTATTAATAATTAGATATGTGTAATAATATTCAATGAAAAATGAGATAAAAAGATTTTGTAAATATAAAATTTAATTTTTTACCAAACTATTCTTAGTGAGAAAACAAAATTTTTACTTTGCAAATTTTTGCATGCGAAATTATAAAATTAATCATACGTTAAGTATCGCTTTGCCGACGTTTAAATTATAATTGATGGATCGTTATAATATCTCAAAATGATTTCTATGTTCAAGAAGATTTATGTTAGAAATATTAAACTGATATTAGAATATAAATGAATGCGCCATTTATTGAACTTTTTTTTAAAATCATTTCAAATTGATATGAACAGTATTTACTAATGTCGCTAATATCATCATCATCATCATTATTGTTAAGTAGTTAGTATTATCATCGCTATTATCATCTATATTACTATCGTTATTATTATCAGTATTATTCCTACAATTGTTCAACGAATGTTTAATGTTAAAGGTAAGCTTGCAATGCATAATTAATTGCTTTATCAATTGTATCATTTCAAAATGTAACATTTAAAATTCTTCGTTACAAAAAGGAAAAAAAGCTTTAGTAAATGCAATGGCATATTTTGCAAATATTTACAAATAACATTTTGTTTTAAAATGCTTTGAAGATTTAGCATCTTGCGAAGTGATACTAAGCTTTTTTTGAGAATGAAGAAAACGTCGAATTTGGTTTAATGCCAATTTTTATGGTTGAAATAATGGTACCAATTATCTTTTATAATATATTTTAGTTTGAAGTTTGAAACTAAAAGTAAATTTTATTACCAATTCTATTTTTTTTGTTTCTATTTTTTGAATTGATATTTAATTTGTTTTGTTATTGCTAATAATAATAATAATAATAATAATAATAATAATAATAATAATAATAATAAATGTCAAATGATAACTATCAAAAATTTTTCGCCCCTTTCTTTTAGTATTAGAAAAATTTTGTTCCAATTTCCAAATTAATTTGATGCAATAATTACTTATATTGTTGAAACAATTACTTATATTGTTGAAATTATTATTATATTAAAAATAACAATGATTACTTTTGAAATTTTCTCAATCAACTGATAGTAGTAAATATTGGAAATAATCTTATAAAAGTCATTTCATTTGATACTTTGTTGTAATTTTTGCAAGAAAAAGCAATTATTTAGTATAAATGTAGCAATAATATAATAATAATTAAAAAATATATATTATTGATCATTTAATACTTCAAAAATTTATCGTTGTAATTTTTGCAACGATTATTTAATATAAATGTGACAGTAATATAATAATTAAAAAAATATATTGTTGAGATTATTATTATATTAAAAATAATTATTCATTAATGTTGAATGATAATTAGCAGCAAAGTATTTCATTATTTTTTCAATATTAATATTTATTACAATGAATGGAAGAAAATGATATTTCACCAATTTAGATTTACATTTTCGTATTTTTTTTTAAAACAAATCTAATTTGCTATTTCACTTATCGCATCGTTTTATTTTATTCTCTCACTAATATTTCTTTCGTTCCTCCGATTTTCCAACTATTTATTTCAACTGTTTCAGAATCAGCAATTAGTTTTTTTTTCAACTAATTAAAATCTACTCATTATATTACGATTCTGTGTTGTATCTAAAACTCTCTCATTGAAATCATTAATTAATTGAAAAAAAATATATTGGATAAACAATAAGGTGGAAGGTGATAAGCAAATGTCAAACATAATTCAATGAAATGTTTTTATGGATAGTTCTTGGCAGTCGTTAAGAATGATAACAAAGAGGAAGAAAACATTTCTAATGATGTAAAATTAATTCTCAAAATAAAGGAAATAGAACTTAATGATATGAAGTTTATATTAGAAAGAGAATTCAATTTCATTTATGATTCTTTCACTTCTTTTTCTACCAATATGAACTAAGCAATCATATTTTTAATTAATTGTTTAATATTAAATTTTTCCATTTGTTATCATTGTTTATAAGTAATTAGTGGTGAATTAAGAGAATTGAAATTTCGGTTCTTTTTTTCAATTTCAACTGTATATTTTCATTTCTTTCTTTCTTTCGTTGTATTTCAATTTCTGCAAAATTTCACTTTTCAACGGCTGTCATTCTTACTGTTAGCTTCTTTCTTTCTTTTTAATTAAATCATTTCATAGATTTAATTTTGCAGAATTTTCTTCATTGGATTCAATGATAATATATTGATTTCTATAAAAATAGAATGAAAAATCTTATCAATTTGGAACATTTCCGTGCGATATGAAAATTTGAAAAGATTTTAAACAAATTTTTTCGATATTTTAATAGCACAAATTTCAAGTTATTACCAGATTTAGTGAATGATTTGGAATTTTCAAACCTGAATTTAAGATATTATGGAATGTATTTGAGTAATTTTGAAATTACTCAATCAAAAGTAATCAATCAAACAATAGAAAAGAAAAACGCAAACAATTATAAAACGACGAAGTAAATTTCGCGCATAAATAACTTTGGAAATTTTAAATTTGAAATATTAGTAAAGAAATTTTTATAAACTTTAATACAATTAATAAAGAGAGAATTAACATGATTTAATAATGCTTCATCTGAAATCATTTGATAATGAAAAATAACAAAATTCATTCATTCAACCAAATTTGTCAACCAATTTATCGTAAAAACTGTAAAAAAATGTTACTGTATTGTCGTTACCGTAATTCATATATTCAATATTCGCAAAATGAATGCAAAATTTTGATCATTGTTTCAATATTTTTAGTCTTTTTTTCTTGCTTTCTTTGCTCACTAAATGAAACTTTGGCAAATGATTAATTAATTTCAGTCATTGAGATTTTATTTGTCATACGTTGAAAAACAATTATTTTTAAATTGAAGATTTTGTTAAATTTCTTTTTCTTACACTCAATAGTTATAATAAAGTTTGCTTTACTTCATTTTTTAATACTTAATTAGTAATTAGCAATAGGTTTTACTTGTGAATAGATTATTGCCATAAATTGCTGTATTTTCAATTTTATTTAAGCTTTCAACGATTTGTTGAATAAGAGAGCAATGATTACTTACAGCAAATAATCGATATAATTACGTGATGCTATCTCGTTTTGATCACGTAAAAACACGTTTCATATCATGTAAAAACTCGTTCTTGTAAAGTCTAACGTGTCAGGACTTCATTTGTCATACGTTGAAGAATAATCTCCTGTAAAAATATGAATATGTTTAATTGAAATTCTCTTTACATATGTTTTCTTTCCCGAACATTTGGAAGCTTTTCTCATCCATCTATACATCACATTTCTAAACTAATATAAAAACTAAAACACTGGAAGCTTCCTCAAACAACGAAGAGAAATTTTTGAAAAATAGACTTTAACAGTTTTTATTATATAAGAAAACATTCATCCTTAGATCACATACACTATTACGAGATATGAAAACACTAACACATTCACATACACACATTACAATCCTTTGGCTAACATATTTTTTCCTAAAATTAATTTTATTCATCAAATATTTGAAATTAAATTGGAAAAAGTAAATGGTACGAATTCGTTTTGTAAACACTAAATTTTTCTTCTTCTTATTATCTATCATTTTTCAATTAATTTTCTTATAATTAAACTTTATGATAGGTATGTTTTCGTTTGAGAGCTTTTCTTGAAATTTACACAATTGAAAATCGAAATTTACATTTAATTAAGACAGAAGCAGTGCAACTATAAATGTATGAATAGTTAACCTATATATTATTCCTGTATTTTCATTTCATTATTTTAATTTAATTAAGTTTTTAGTATTCCGTATCTTTAATGTTAAAAAAGAAAAAGAAATATTACGTGCTATGGTAATACAACAATATTCTCAGAACAGATTATAATTGTATTATAAAAGAATTTCAGGTTTTATGTGATATTTCAACGAATGAACAAAATGAACATTTCGCTGATTTTTAATTTGCCTATTTGACGCATATTCGACGTTTTATAATTTGCATTTGCTGTATTGAAAGTCAAAAGATAATGACTACTTAAATCATTTGCGCTCATAATGATACTGCTAAATGAGGAAGCGGTTATGAATGATTATTCGGCAATTTTAAAAACAATCATTTTCTTTTGTTCAAATTATATTTTGTCAGCAATCATTTCACAACAAAAAATAAATGCGAAATTTCAACAGTTTTATAATTCAGGCAGCGTTTCCCATTATTATTTGTTGCCTGATACTATCCTTCTAAAGGTTAGCAAATTTCGATTATAAAATTCACAAAAATCTCGCAACTTTTTTATTTTTTAAAAATTTCTTTGTGACTTCAAAATTTTACAGTACCATCTAACAATACAATAAACAATATTTCGATTTTAATTAGCCATATCAAAGCTTGTCAGAATAAAAATTTTGGAAATAGATCATATGTTCAGCATACTTACTATGTAAATCTTTAGATTAATTGTGTGAATTAGTGCTTACGCCTAGCGAATTACGCATAATTACGTGATAATTCCGTGGTAGCATTCGATGCATCGTTGTTGTTCCGAAGCACTGCAAGCTGGTCGGAAGCTCTGTCAAGAAGCATTCAGAAAGCTTACAAACAATGATGAGGAAATTTCCGATTCAGAGGAGCATGCCGCGTTCAATCAGTCTGCTGATCGCATTCCGGAGTCGGTTGATGATGAATCATCATCTGCCGTACGGCTTTCACGTCGATCTTCCCTCCTTGTAAAAATTTTGTCGAATTTTTTTGTTAAAATTATTTATAAGAGGAGAAATGAAATAAAGCATTTAAACTTTTCAACTGACACATCATTAACTTCAACTTATCAGTTGGACGGTTAAATGTATTAAAGTTTAAAAATCATTTACCAATTTTTTTTCTTTTGAAAATTAATAAATAATTTTGAATATATTATAGGTCGATTTGATTTCACTTTTTCAACGACCTTCTTCGAACAGTATCAAACCGATTCGTCTTCCTGGACAATTATCTGAAGCACAGTCAGTTTTGTTCATTTTGATTCTTATTTGCTTTTTTTTATTTCAATCTTTAATTAATTATGATAACATCTGAGGTAACCAAAAATTTGCAGGTAGTTTTGTTAATTAATAGTAGTGAAAGAGTTCCGAAATTAATTTAGTGCAAATCATTTAATTAATATTAGATACAAATTACAAATATTGAGTAATTTGATTATGAAATCAAAAGAAATTAAAAGACAGTTAAAACTTATTTCCAACTTGCATTAACAAGAAAATTATTTCAAAATTCACTAATTACAACGAATTTTATCAGTTTGAAAACCAAAATGGAAGCAATAGTTGGGAAGAACTCTGTTAATTAATTACTCTCATTATCATTACTGAGTATAAGATAGCTAGCAATGCATAATGCTTTATAGGCTTGCTTCCAAACTTTTTATTTCATTTCTTGGCTCTAAAATCTTGGAAGAAAGTAAATAAAGGTTACTTTCTTTCAAGATTTCAGCATAAACCACTGAAATGACAATATGCATTGTTTTAATATAAAAAAACGAAATTTTACAGAGATGAAAATGAGGAGGAAGAAGAAGAAGATCCTAAACAGATGTCAAAAGGATGGGTACTGGAAACGATACGTCAAAAAAAGGAAGCAATTATCCGTTTGCGAAGTCAACCATGGAGTATGAAACGGAAAAAACGTACCTTAAAGTAAATAATATATTTCGCTCATTTTCATTTTCCTTCTTCTGAAAATAATTGATGAAATATATATAAGTATAGCTGTAAAAAAATACTACGTAAAATTTATTCACACTGAAAAATTAAAGTTTACTATATTAATCGATACTTCATTTCCTGAAATGATTATACTGTAAAATTGGTACTAAAACTGATAATAGCAAAAGATTGTTAATTGTAGTTGAAAAAAAGAAAAGAAGGAAATTTTCTTTAGAGTAGCTCGACGACATTTGAAACGTCAACAATCGAAAGTATCACGATGGCATTTGTATAAAGTAGAAGCAACCAGACAATGGACAGCATTTGGACGATGGTGCAGTAATATGAAAATATATTTGATACCATGGGAAGCAAAAATTAAAACAATTGAAAGTAAATCAATTTAACTAATCAATTACTAAATTAGGATTTTTTTTTAATAGTATTATATCCCTTTTTTGTCAGTTACTAGAATAAATAGATATATTGCAACAAATAATTAATTAATTTAATTACTTGCTTGATCAGATTATTCGCCATTTTATCGCATATCCCCGTTGTTTGAAATGATACATGGTTAATGAAATTAATAAAATAAGCTTCAGGAATATGGATTTCTTTTTTCATTAACGGTTCAATCGAAAAGGCCCTGATTTCTTTGAGAGCATACTTAATTTTGCAATATCAGTCAAACATTGTCATCTATGGTGTCTTAATTACTAATTATTTCCATACTTCAGGTCACTATGGTTCCGTAGTCTCATCATATTTTACATTCTTACGATGGATTCTTAGTGTGAATATTACTATGACTATTATAATGATGTTATTCGTTACCATTCCAGAGGTAAGCATCCCTTCAACGAAGGAAATAAATTTGAGATGCTAATTTGAAATAAATATTGCGAAAGCATTTAATAAAAACCGAAAATATTATTAAAAAGGTTAAGTTAAAATTAGAAATAACTGATTTAGCTATTATAATTTTATAATTATTATAATTTAGCTATTATAACTATTATAATTATTATTTTATCAAGTTTTATCATTAATTCCTTGCAAAATTTTATTTAGACTGCTATAGTAACGATTATAGTTTATATAATCTGTTAAATTTATTAAATCGAAATAATGTCTGTCGTAAAAATGAGGTAAATAAAATTGTTTTAGTGGTTGGCAGATTCTCGAGGTGATCCAGAACGATTTAATCGAACTTATCATATCAAAGTTATGAAAGAGAAAGATCTGTCACGAGCGGATGAGTTGAATACCATTCTCGATTTTAAAGTAAGTTTTTTTGCTTTTTAGCAACAAATAGTTTTCAAAATGAATCAAGAAATAATCAGCCAATGATAAAAAATTGTTGAGAAAATATGATGAGTGTCAATGAAATATGTTGTGCTGTTGCAATTTATAAATAAGCAAAAAAAATTTACATATAAAACAAATTGGAGAAAATCGAAAATAAAAAATTATTGATTATTTTACTTCAAGTTGTTAATAATTAATTTTGTTAATAATTAATGTTTCTAAACATAGTTAGTTGTTAATAAGTTGTTGTTAATAATTAATGTTTCTAAACATAATTAATTATAAAGTTATATCATCTATAATTACATTATTTATAATTTTTTCGAAGATATTTCTTGGATTAATTTTCTTTTAGGGTTATTTTGAGTATTCATTGTTATTTTATGGTTACTATAGCAGTGAGACCTATTTTGGTGATACGGTTCAATACAGTGTGCCTGTTGCATATTTTATTGTAAATTTATTCATTCTCGGTTACAGTTTCTTCATCATTCTGCAAAAGTAAGTTTATCATATAATTAATTTTAATTAAACGATTATGTATGATTTTACTTTGGCAATCAAAGTAGGGTTAGTGAGCAAATTACAATTTCATTGAAATTGCAGGATGGCATCAAATGCTCGACAAAGTAAACTTACCGGTGGTAAAACGGAACAGTATGTATTTAATTGGAAATTATTTGCCGGCTGGGATTATTCGATCGGAAATGCAGAAACTGCTTCCAACTTTGTGATGGCTAATGTCAATAAATTTCGAGTATGTCACATTTCATTTAATTTTAGTTATATTAAAAAGTTTTGAATTTGTCATATTTTCGATTGTTGGTCATTATTTTTCTAAAGATATCCTTCAAAGGAATCAGTCAGATGATAGAAATTTAAGTCCAAAGAAGTCTGAAAGTTTCTTTAATTGTTAATTAATGTTATTGAAAAATTATTCATATCTCTTTCTTTTTCGATCATTTAAAATCAGAACTGTTTGTTTTAACACATTTCAAATATCTTTTGCAGGAAATAATTGCCGAATACAATGTGAATCGTACGAAAAAGTTCGAGTAAGCATTTTTAACAACAGTTTTTCCCTATCTCTATTACAGTAACTTCATTTAGCGTATTATATTGATAAGTTTTGCATACTATATACCATCTATCGTAGAAAGAGAAAATAGAAAATGCATTACTTCTAACACTGAGAAAGTATGGCGGAGAAAGATCAATTATAATCTGAAGGAAATTCTACATCAAATAATATTTCACTAATAATTTGATATATTGAATTCAAAAAAAATTTGTGTTTGTTATAAATATAGGATGAGATTTTTTGACGATTAAACGGAAATATGGTATCATTCCGAATTTTTTTTCTGAAATTATAATCTAAGAAATTTACGGATTTTTCTATTTCAAATATCCGTGATTGAATTAGTTTTGCAGATCGTTGTTTCGAGCAATGAAACTAAGTAAGGAAATTATCATTTGAATATAGTTGTTATATGCAATTTATTTTTATAGCTTTTTCCAATTTACTCTTCGTGTATTAGCGAATATATTGGTTTTTACGATGCAAGCTGGATCAGTATGGGCTATTCTTGCTGTTAGCCAAATTACAACAAAGACAAGTTTCATACAACGAGTATGGCCTTATTTTATCATATGAAAATTTTTTGTTAAAATTGAATAAATGAAATTAAATTAGATTAATTTACATTAAATTAACGAAGTTGCACTTAATTTAATATAAATTAATTTTATAAATACTTCAATTTTGTATATTAGTGAATATATTAGTTTTCAGGGCGCAATTTTATTTTAATTTCTCATATATCATATAGTTTCTAACCAATTATTATTATTATTATTGCATTGTAAAGAGTTTTCTACAAATTATTTTTTTGCAATTTTAAAATTATTGCTGATAATTATTCGATTTAGAACGCAGTGTCAATAACGGTCTCATTTATCACTTTAACATTTCCAAATTTTTTCGATCTCATAAGTAAAATGGAGCGATATCATCCACGAACTGCTCTTCGAATACAATTAGGAAGGTATCTTACCGTTTCATGAATTTTGCTTATTGATCCAAACTATTAGATGAAACTATCATTTAAACTATAGGTACTGAAACTGATAACATTTTAATCTTATTTTATTCTGAAAACTTGATCGAATAAAATAAGCATAATAAAACATTTGATTTGTAAGTCTCTTCCGATTATTACAATAGCTGGTAATAGTCATAATTACTCTCAATGATAATATTAAATTATCATTATAATTCGTTTTCCTCACAATGATGATTGTTTCAGGGTTTTATTCCTCTATATATTGAATTATTATACTCTTATCATTTCATTAATGTTTATGTTAAATACAATGGAAAGTCAGCGAAATGTTGATGAACGTCTTATTCCGGTTACACAATATTCCGTTCATCATCCAAATAAAGCGCCGATTTACAACATTTCCTACAATCAAATCATTAAACAACGGTTCCTTTTTTATCTCTCCAATAATTGAATTCAGATTTTAAATGTATTTTTAATTGTCATTTGCAATTTTTTTTTGTTAAAAATTTATAATTTCAAATTTTCATTTCCAATTTGATCAGACTTTTGAGGTAAGATGAAGGAAGTTCTTAATTCGAAATAACTTCTGTACATAATATTTTAGCGAAGGTAAATAAGATTGAGTTATTTCTCTATAATCGATTGTTTTCATCAGTAACATTCTTCTCAAATTAAACAATAAATAAAATTTTACATAAAACAAAGAAAAAAGAATCAGTGATCTGTCATACAAATTGATTATACATTTGTATTCCTTTTTACAAATTATTTTGCACCTCTAATAATAAATTGCATTATTAATAGGACTGGCCGTCAAGTGATATTCGATTTTCCATCTGTAGCATCATCACTTTTCAATCGTAGTAAATTTAGTGACATTCCAACGACACCATCTCCTGGTAAATTATGGACAACTGTAAGTGTTTTTATGTCATTTGTTAAATAAGATCAATTCGATCTGCTACTTTTCCATTTCATATTTTAAAATGTTTACAATATCATAAATAAGAATATTTTATATCATAATCATGGTTGTGATTTTGCAGTAACTATTATCATGATGTAGAACTAAAAGTAAGCGTTAGTTAAATTTATTACATTCCCAAATTACTTCATCAGCTCTTTTAAATATGGAAATAATAATCAGCAGCAAATAATGGTTATTTATCACAATTACGCTAGAACGTAGATGCATGACGATAAAATGATTATCATATCACAGTTTTGCATTTCCAATATTTCTGTATATCGCACAAGAGAAATTTAAAATATTATGCTCTTTATGCTTTTTATAGAATCAATTATTTGAAAAATACAATATCTATAGGTTATTTCATTCGCTACAGATTCCTTTCTTTTTTTTTATAACTTAAAATAGTTATAATGATTTTATGGCAAATCTATTTAATGTTCAATAAAAGTAATGCGATATACTATTTTAAGGTTTTTCCAAACTTTGGTCCACTTGGCATTACAAATCCGAAAGCTGTTGTGACTGAAAATCGGCGTGGTATAATGAATGCAAGTACTTTTATCGCATACCCGATAGGTAATAACGATTGGACTAAAAATATTTCCGCTCAACCGACAGTTTTAAATTATTCCACAACCGTACAAGCGGTTCTGTCGGCAGCACGCCTATCCACGGATTGGTATGAAGAATGTTGGGAAAATCTCATTGGAGAGGTTTGCCATATTTTCATCGTTGTCGTCATTTTCATTAAGATTAAATCAATTGTTAACATGATTTTCTTACGATTATTGCTACTTATAATTATAATATCGTTATCATCATTACCAAATCATTACCTTATTCGTTCATTTTATTTCTGGTTATTTCTTATCAACGATTTTTAGAGACAATTGAAATGGAAAATACTATATTTAAGCAGAATTTTAGTTTAATTAAAAACAATTAAAGGAAATAACAAAGTTGGTGACGACTGATTTAGTGATGACAATTGCATCTATTTTGGTGATCGATTTTTTTCGAGCTCTTTGGGTTCGCTACACCAATATTTGGTGGTTTTGGAATTTAGAAACAACTTTCGTACGTTTCTTTCATTCGTACCAACATTTTGAAAAAATTTTTTAATTTCGTAAAAATATTTAAAATTTTTTTCCGAATGTGTCAAAAATATTCATTGCAGCCGGAATATGGTGAATTCAAAGTTGCGGAAAATGTGCTGCATCTAGTAAATAATCAAGGAATGATATGGCTGGGATTATTTTTCGTTCCTATGTTACCAGCTATTAATAATATCAAATTAATCATTCTAATGTATATTAGAGGTTGGGCCGTAATGACTTGTAATGTACCAGCCCGGCAAATATTCCGTGCGTCCAGGTTGGTTGATACTGGCCATATATGCTTTTTTTTCCTTTGATTTATTTAAAAATATTTTATTATTGTCTAATTACATTTATAATTATTCCTTTTTCAGTTTTCCTGTAAGCAAATTTTCCATTGCTACTTTGCAATACCTTTGCAAATTAATTTTTCATATTTATCTCAATTAAAAATATTGCATGAAATTGTAAAATATTAAAGAAAAAAAGTGCAAAAACCTTATATTGCAGAATATCATTCATGTAAAATCCGGAACATTAAAATACGACATGAAATCTTTCGTAACAAATTTAAATTTTATTATTTTTCGAAATTTCAAAGTTTTCCGTTTTTCCAGATCAAGTAATTTTTATTTGATGCTGTTGTTGCTTATGTTGTTTCTTTGCACTCTTCCGGTAGGTTACGTAATCGCTTCGAAGAAACCATCCAAGATATGCGGTCCATTTGCGTTCGTCTAGTTTTTTCCCCGATAATTTTTATATGTAAATAAAAAATCTGAATTTGAAATTTGATATCTAAAATTAAATGTTCTATTTTAACCTGCGCATTTAATTTCAACATTTAAATTGAGCTGCTTTTTTCATTCTAATTTCAATCATTATTTTTGAAGACATTCTTCAAAGTGAATCTGTTGGACGTTAGAAAATTAAATTAAAAAGAAGTTCGAAAGTTTTTGTCTTTTTGTTTTCTCGAAAGCAATTCTCGAAATTATTACATCTTTTCAGAAGTCAAAAACGTTTCTACAGTGTAATTGTGCAATTGCTTGATCGTAATTTAACGAAAGGTCTTGTTGATGCGATCAGATATATGATATCACCCGGTATTGTTATTCCAGTTTTATTGCTTCTCCTTTTAACTATATATTTCCTGTTTGCTTTAGTACGTGGCCTACGTGAAGCAAATACTGATCTCACCAAGCAGTTATTACATGTAAGTTTATTACTCATACTTTCACCTTGTTTAGTTTTTTGCTTATTTTATTTAGACATATTTTCAAACTATTTTATAATCTTCATTTTATGAATAAATCAAATCATACTTCTCTTTCTTATCTTTTTGAGTAGTAAAATTCCGAAAACTATTTTAAATTTATTTTCATTGTATTTTTAGGAGAGGACAGAAGAGAAAAAGAGAATATTTGAATTGGCAGGTGGAAAGAAACGTTTGGCTGCCAACAATAATGAACTTTCACGTTCTCCTTTACTTCCCAAAAAATCAACTGATAGTACAAACGTAAAGAATAAAATTAGTAGTTATACGGTTAATTTTTTCATTATTTTCAAGTCATATTTCCGTAAAATATAATTATGCCAACATATTTTTACGTGTCTGTCCACGCAAGATGTTAACATTTATTTATCTTTCTTTCTTTCACATTGCTATTTTTCTTCTTTATTAACAATCAATTTTTTCATTTGTCAGATTAATTAATTACTACTAACGTCAATATGTAATTTACTAAATAAAATTAACTTGTAAAGTTAAAACGTTTTTTAAAAAAAGGAACAAGAAGAAAAGGTTTTTGTATTTTCTAAATTGACCACAAACTTAATAATATAAAAATATGCAGTTAAACGTTTAAATATCATAATAATTTAAAAAGGTGTTATAATTAAGAATTAAAAATAAATATGCAAATTTTAGGATGACGAAATTTCAGCAGATAAATCGTATAAACGAAGTAATAGGGATTTACGCAGTTACGTTCCTTCACTGAAGTAAGTTGTTTCGTAGTATACAACAAATGCGTGCGTTATATGATAAGTGAATTATAGGAACGAGTAAAATATTTTGATACATCGAATTTTTCTATCAAAATTAATGAATGAGTATTAAATTGTGTTTACATTAATATGATAATATATGCTGAAATCGCCTTTTTGCCATGATTATCAAGATTATCCGATTATTCATTCATGTTATAACCGTGTATTAAACATAACTATACATGAATATCTGGAAAGTACTAATTTAATATTTGATATCTATGATGATTAATAGTTTGTACATTTAGTTTAAATAATATAATAAAGTACTACAACTGCAATTAGCATTATTAGCAAATTGAATGAAAGATCTCTAAATTAATTTTTATGATTGAAATATATTCCTTAAATAATGAATAATTTAGAAGTGTTAGTGAAGCGGAACATTCGGAATCAGATGAAGAAGAACCGGAACAGAAGCTAAAAGAGCAGCAAGAAAATGATGAAAAATCTGAAATAGCTGAAATAAAACGTAGTTGGAAGCAAAAAATTATGACTTGGCTTGGTTTGGATAAGAAGCCGAAGAGGTTAGTTAATAAGTTAATACTTACAAAAGAAATAACTAATTAATAAAGAATTATAAAAATCTTTTTTTTTAATGAAATAAAAGAATGAATTATTATAATAAGAAAGGTTAAGAGAGGTTTGATTATATTTGATTACACATTGCAAATCATTATTTTTTTAAGACCAAGAAAACTTCGGCTAAGATATGATCACAATGATATTGAAGCAGGCAATGGATCATTTATGTCTGGCAAAAAATCCACCTCAAAATCTGCAACATCAGATGATCAGCGTTCAATAACATCGATTACCGAATCATTCTTGCATAGCAGGTTAACAATTAAAGTCAATGTTGGATATTATTATTATTACTTTCTCGCATTTTCATTGAGAAGGAAAAAATTCATTTCAAAAATTGGCAAAGTATTCATTCCAATTTTTTTAATTAGCAAATTTGTCACTTTTATTCAACAACAAAAAAGAAGATATTTCCAAAATCCTTGCAATAATTTACAGCTTGTGATTTAATGAATGTTTATTGGTATTGGTTTGAAGTAAAGTATTGTTTCAGTCCATCATCAGAAAAGCTTATAGAAGAAGAGGAAGGTGAAATAAAGAGTGATCGAAGTGTTACGTCTACTGCTAAAAAGTAATGCTATCATTTACTTTCAGATTTTTGCTAAGATTTAAATTTTGTTATAATTAAATCTCATTTCATATAAACTTTGTTATTTACATAATGGAATGATACTCTGTTTACGTCGTTTCTTTTCATTGAATTTTTACTTTTCTTTAAAGTCTAAGAAGTGTTAGTCTTATTATTTTATGAAACGATTTTCCGATCAACTAGATTAGATACAACATTAATTAGACATAGTTCGATTAGCTGTAAATGAGTCATAAAATTTCTTTCACAAAAAAAGAAATATTTTTTGTCCATTTTATTCTTACAATCGATAACGTTATCAAAGATTTGTATCCAACGGATATTCTCGGCAAAAAGACAATACAGTATTATTTCTTGAAAAGCCTTAAGAAACAAATTAACATATGTTAATCATTATCGGATACAAATATTCTTACTTCTAAAACAATTGTTGCATAATTTTTAAAATCCTCAAGATTTTCAGTAGTATAGAGCAAGACCGAAAGCGGATAATATCACAACAAACATTTGGAGTTCATGAAACTTTGATGGAAAAAACTGTCTCATTGTTAGAGCCTACAAATGATGATGGCAGGTTAATTTCAGACTCATTTCAATTATTATTCATTAGCAAAGAATTTTCGATATTATATTATAACAATAATTAGTAATTACTGCTTAAGTATTTTAACTATTTCCAGTAATTAGAGAATATAAATCAAATTTGGTTATGCACTTAATTTTAATGATATAGATTATCGGTTTAAATTATCAAATCATATCGCTTAATTAAACAAATTAGATTACTAGCAATTATAATGGCACATCTGATATAACTATATAATTGAAGTAATGTTTTATAAATGAGAACATTTGCGGATTATGTCAGCCAATGCAGAAACAAAAACAACATCTTAATTTATTTGTAAGCGATGATTCACCCCATGAATCGCCAAAAGAAGTTGAAAATCGAGGATATGATTCTTCTGATTTGTCAGATCCACGTTTCTCTTACGCTGATCCATATAGCAGGTGAGAGTTATTAATTTAACGTTTTTAGCACCAAAAAGGGAAATTTCTTTTATGATTAAGTTGGAATGATCCGCTAAGGAAAAAAATTATTTGATTAAACTATTATTGTTTTAGTTATGCAAATGCGATGATGTCACCTTTAATGGAAATGCAGACATTATCACCGGCAATATATTCTGAAAATGAAATAGAAGCGGAAGATGAATTTGATGAAGGCAATGGAGTAACTCAACATCTAGAAGATTATAATAGGTATATGGATTTGAGGGAATAATTTAAGCTTTGGAAAGTGGAAATTTGAATTTTTTACCGAAATAAAGTAAACAGTCAATGTTTTCAATAATCTGAATAACCGGAATGATTAAATCAACAAATGAACGCAATTTTTGTTCACGCATAATAAAAATTTCTCCACGACATCCTGAAAAAAAGCGATCATTTCAAAACCTGTTGCTAAGGATCATTATTGGTTTGAGTATTTAATTTAGCAGAGAAATATTGTTTTGAGGTGTTGAAACTTTTTTGAAGGTCGATTTGTCATATTTAGTTAATAATTTAAAGAACAGTTTAAAAATTAAGATTGGAAATTATCAAACGTTAAATTTTAAAGAACATACATCTTTTTAAGAAATTTGTTGATGATAGAATTCTTTAGCTTTCATCCTAGAAATACTTCGAATTTTTCAGAATGGATAAGCCTGAAAAAATTAGCCATGAAGAAGGCCTAGATGGAAAATCGAATGTAAGACAAAAAGTTGAACAAGATGAAATCAGGCCAAATAATGCAAGTATCATCGTCCATCCCGAAATACATATTCCGGCAATGATTTCTGACATTGATGTGGAGCACGAAAAGGAAATAAATCAAAGTTTGAAAATGAAAGAGATCAATCAGCAAATTAAATTGGGTAAAGTGGAGGCTCGAGTTTTTCTTCGGGAAGCAAAGCCAAAATCGCACCATTCAGAAACAGTGCAAAGCCCACATACAGCTAGTGATTCAGAATCTCGAATGATTGTTGCTGGTAAAGATCCAAGATTATATTATACTGATTCAGAATGTGTTACATCACATGGCAAACATTTTCAAAGGGTAAAATTTACTTCATTTATAAATTAATTTTCATTAACCTTTTATTGTTCATTTTTCCTTTTGAAAAATATTGGTGTAATTTAAAGATATTTTCTTTTTCTATAAAAATTATTTCAAGTTTATATTTCAGTACAAAAAACCAATCCATTATGCTATACCATATTATTCACGAGTGGCAAATACGCAGGTATTTTTGTTTCAAATTTTTCTACTGATTAGAATAAAATAAAATAAAGTAGAAGATTTCAATTTTGAATAACATCGACCGATAGGATGATACAGTAAGATTGAATTAGGAAAATGCTAAATTTAAAGAGCAATTTTTTTAATTATCAGTCATAAAATTTATGTAATTGGATTAATCAATTAAAAAACAATTATTGTGAAAATGAATTGACTCAGGTCAAAGCATTAGGATAAACAGTAAGCCATACAATTTGTTTTAGTACCTATTTGTAAATTTAATTAATCAATCCATTCTTTCAATTTCATTGGCTTCACTTATTTCGTTCCTTATTAACTCTTTTTCTCTTATGATAACTGCCAATTTTCATTGAATTTCAGGAGGATCATCAAACCGATATTTTAGTGCAGCAATTTTTGATGCGTGTTAATATTAGTGAAAATCGCTCCGGAATCCTTCCGGATCGTTCGTCATCCCATCAACCTTTGCCATCATTACCTGAACATCATACACATGAAGCACAATCTGCAATGAATAAAGTTCAGCATACCTTAAATCAGCTACCGTTGCCATCTAATGAAACTAGCCAAATTTGTAAACATACACTTGTATAGCTTCTACATTTCAGGAAAGGAAAAAAGTTATATTTCCATTCTTTTTTCTTTTTTGCTAATTAAAAGAAGAACAAAAAAAATTAATTGGAAATTAATTAAATGGATTTTCTCTGAAAGTGCCTAAATTTTAATTGAAATATAGCAAAATATGCATAATTAAATTTTGTATTTATTCGTGCGAAACTTTGTTTATTTCATAAAAATGCATGTCTTCTTGCAAAATATTCATTTCTGCAATGTTGCATTTTTAGTTCTATGAAAAGTAATTGCTAAATTTCGTTGTTTTGCATATTTAAATGCATTTATTATAATTATCAAAATTATGCAACATAAAATGAAAAAGACGATATTAGAAATTATGTTGCATGCAATACTAACAAATTTCCATAAAGTTTCGGCTTTCTTTGAAAATAATAAAATCTTTTTAATTACAATTTGAAGGATATTTTTAAGAAAATTATTAGGCTGAAATTCTAAAGCAAAAAAAAAAAGAATATTTAATTATTCAAATTTACGGTAAAGTATAATTGGTTGGCAAAATTTGAGAAAATATAAAATCACTGTAAAAAGTCAATAATCAAAATGAATGAATATTTGATAGTGAAAATCTTACTATTAATATTATTATTATCAAACACAAGGAAAATAGTAAAATATAAAATTATCAAAATAAGATTATTTATGACTTAACTATTCAATTAATTAGTGTCCGATTAATTCAACATTTTTTACAAATGAATTTCAAAGAGGACATGTGTTTAAGTTTGCTTTACATTGTAATAAAAATTTGTCGTTAATTTTGTCTAATTTATAAATGTTTTGATTTCTTTGTTTTATTTATATTAATTTAATTGCCCTTGTTTTTACTACTATTTTTTCGTATTTTTGTTTCCCGACCTTCTTCACTGCCACAAATATATTAGTATACTTTTGCAACAAACTAATTTAATTTTGTGGTAAAATATTTTTGACATTAATTGTCAAAGCAACACAAATAGTAATTTACAGACTTATTTTCTAATTTTCCACTTTTTCAACCTTATCATAAATTTTAACTCTTAGCATTAAAAAAAACCTTATCACAAAAAAATTTACCTTACCTTACCTTACCTTCCCTTAATCATTTCTTTTATCATAACAATTTTCTTACTCTTACATATAAAGATCTTTATTATTATCATCGATTTTTTTTATTCTTTATCGTAAAGAAATTATAAATATTTCAGAAATTGTTGAAATGATTTCAAAATTTGTAGTAAAATAATAAAACGATTTTTTATCATTTTCACTATTACAACTTCTAATTGTTTTTACAAATTATTTTATCGCATTTTTCAGCAAATTTAGAATCAGAAGAATTTCCAAAGATAATAATCTATCTATGAATAACAACTATATACATCAATGATAAGGATGATAATAACACAGAATACAAATGTACAATCCTATAACTAAATTATTTCAATTGCGTTTTTCTGATAATTTATTTGAATTTTGATTTACGGTGAAATGTCATGATTAAAAAGCGAGAACAGATGATGAAGAAAGCAAAATTTGCTAATGTCATTTGACATATTTCGATAAGATATAAACCTAACTGATAAGGTATGATAATATCATATGGATATATATTTTAGTCAACAAACTTTTGTGTCAACAAACTTTTCGTTTTTATATCATTCCAAGAAATTGAAATCGATTTTTGAGTATGATTCATGTTGTTGGTAATACTGCAATGAATTCTTTTGAAATAACATGAAAAATATTGTAGACAGACGATGCAAGTTCAATTATGTTTTATTGATTTCTTCCTTAACGAAACATTTTGAAATCAATGAAAACCGGTTGAAAGTGTTGGAGAGAGAAAGAGAAAAAGAGGGAGGAGATATAGGAAAGGGAAAAAAGTTTCGTGAAAAAATAATTTACCTCTTTTAATACCTGCCAATCAACCAACCTACCTATTATTGTCGCATGATAGAAATTTGTTCTTTCAATTGATTATGGTAAGTTCTGTTTTATTTTTAAAAAGAAATTATAAATTTAAACAAATTTCTAAAATTTTTTAATTCTTCACTTCCAATTATATTTCCCAACGATAAATTTCGTTTTCAGAAATGAATTTGTTGACAAAATTTTTTGTGAATTCTTTTTTTAATCGCTCGTTGCATATAATTTATTCAATTTTCATCCTTTAATAAATCTGAATTTAAAATTTCATTCAATCTTTTGAAAATCTAAAAAAGTGAAAACAAAAGAATAGTATAATTCAGAATTTCTTTATAGTTATCATGTACATAATGATACTGTATTATACTATCTTAAACCGTTACCGTATTTATAATTTATCGTTCATATTTCATTTATTTTTTGCAGCATGTTCCTTGTGGTCAACCATATGGACCATATCCGGCAGGTGAATGTTATCCGTGTTCACCACCTCCAGGGTATTATCCACGGTCGTGTTATCAGTAAATTTCTTATTATTTATAATAACTTTACAATGGAAACTTTGGGATAAAGTTCACTATAAAAAATTTTATTTCTTGAAAGGATAAGAATTTAAATTTAATCGTTAAATTTAAATAGTTTATAATTAATTAATATAAAAATAGAAATTACGTGGGAATTTACCGAAGTATTTTTAAACACAATATGAAGTAAAAAAAGAAACGGTTTAAAAAAAAATTATATAATTAACAAATAATACTAAACCTTTAAAATCACATTCGTTATCTTTTGTTTTCTGCTTTATATTTCATATGTAAACAATTTCCGTACATTTTAGTGGAAGACGAAGATATTCCGGATGTTGCGGTTGGCTGATGGCTTTAATTGCATTCTGTTGTGGTTGTTTTATGGGAGAACAATGTAATACAGATTGCTGTTGCTGTTTTATTCCTTGTCCACCATGTCCAAGATGTTGAAAATGGTGGGAAAGAATTATTGACGTTGAAAATCATCGGGAGAATTATTTCTAAATGACAGGATATTCGTTCTTTTTTGTTTTATCGTTATTTATATTATTGAATTTACTGTTTCGTTGTCACAATTACTTTCTTTGTTTTGTTATAATTTCAATTTCTCAAAAATTTTTTTCATACTCTGCATACAGTTCACGTCCTTTTGTCTATATTAATATTATCCAGTAACAAAATCGCATATGATTGCTCGGTGATTGAATGATAACCAATAGTAGTGATAATAATGCTATTAATGATGATGATGATTTTAATGGCTAAGACGATGCTGTAATGATATTAGTGGTGTCAATGATGATAATGATGATGACAATAATATTAATGATGATGATTACAGCGATGTTGATGTTAAAGATGACGGCATGGAACGTGGTGATGATACTAAAAACATACTCTAACGTTAATAATTTCCTGAATGAGAAAACATGATGTCCATATCATCCCCTCTTTCAACGATTACGATAACTGATAAAGCATTGTTGCTTCTCTCACATTTTGATATTTTATCTAAAATTTTCCTCTTTATCATTTCTTTTTCATATATATGTATGTTTTCCGAAAGTTATATTCCGTTATTTCTTCAGAATGTATATTGGAATATCTATCTCCTGACCGTCTTATGACAACGCTGAATTTATTTCCCAAAACACTTTATCTGGTTCTTCCTTCCTGAAATAGCGTTGTGGAATATATGCTATCAATTATTAAGCAGTTATTAATTCTGTAATTTAAGGCGTTACTTTGATCTTTCGATGCGTACATTTTTCTGTATAAATTCAAATTATAAATTTTCGACATGTAATTAAGGGAATTTTTTGGATCGCCTGTAAATCATATTTGTCTAACAAAATTACAATCGTTGTTACTGAATTAAGCAAAACTGGCAGTTTAGGAAAATATGAACAAAATACATATGGTGTGGTCAGGAATAAAAGTAACATGCATGAAGTTAATTCCTCAATTTCAATACATACATCAAAATAATAGTAGAATAATAGTGGTTGCCTAAGTTTTGCCCCAGTTATAGTTATTATGAATACGTAAGACATAGCATTTATAACTTTAGAACATATTTGAAACTACTGAAATCTATCATTCCCTTGAGATAGTTGCTTCTTCTACTGATTCAGATTTGTCTTTTTCTTTCAGATCAACAAAATGGTAGTCAAATCTTCATTTTTTTTTTTAAAAAATAAAAATCTACACGTGGTTCGAATCGATTTGTGTCTGAACTACAGGAACCATACATGCAACATCGGGAAGCTCTTTAATTTCAATTTAAGCAATTTTCTAAATATATTTACTGATCTATCCTATTTGGCGTTCATAATTCCACCAATTCTATACTACATATTTCTTTTTCTTTCATATATTCTTAATGAAATCTGTGCACCTGAAACAATAATAATAAATTCTTGTTTGATTGGTACTATTATCATTACTTACAAAATTTGGGGAAGCAGATATACTTTGTTACCACAGAAAATTCTGGGAATTAGAAATTTGAGGAATTTGATAATGCAAAACAAACATTTCCACAAATTTTTTCATAAATTTTCATTTATGAAAAATTTTTATAATTCCCATTTCAATAATGCACTACAATATTTCCGCCACAACAAATTGAGAAATTTAATCCTCAACGCATCATAAAATGTAAATGTCTATGCAAATGGTGATCCACTCTTATTTAATTTCATTTGAATATATTATAACGATGGAAAAAACAAAATTCCAGTTTTTCCTAACTATAAATTTCTATACAATGTTAACAGAATGAAAATTAATCTCATTATGAAGTGGAGAAAGTTATGAAGTGAAAGAAAGAATAGAAACAAAAAGGAATTATAAAAACTGTTCCTAAAGAATAAAATTATATAATAAAACATAGGGATGCTGAATCCAAATTATGGAAATGGATGCTTTGAATTAATGCAAGGAATAGAAAATATCACAATAGGTAAAGAGACTGTTTGATACACTTAATGAAATAATGTAAAGCATGCAAGTGACATAATGTGATTTCCCTAAATATATTTATGAAACAACCATCAAATCAATATATGTATAAGAAATAGGAAAAGACATATTCAATGAGCACTATATTCGGTGTAAAGTTCATAAAAATATGAAAAAGCTAAATACTAAATAAAAAACAAAAACGTAACCACAAATGAATAGTGGCAATAAAAAAAAAAGGAAAATCAAAGATCTATTCAAACAAAACCATCTGAATTACTTTCTGTTCAAAAAAGATTTCTACAAACAAAAGTTCAGAATATAAGCAGTGACAGCAGAATTTTTACAACACAAAGCAATAACTACAGTCTTACCGAATGAAGAAAATGATGAAGGGCAAAGTTCGTGATCTGCTTCACCAGTTTTTTTCATTTATTTCATCGGAAAACGATTATAAGTCATCGTCCGTAATTTCAAATCCTTCATTTTTTAAAGGTAATGCCTTCTGAAACAAATTCAACAATGAATATTAATTATGATATGAATATTAATTATTAATTATGATATGAATATTAAATATGAATATTAATTATGATTCTGTACTTCCAAAAAATTCAATTTAAATCTTATCATGATGTGGCAGCAGCACTGTTTTACTTCAAGTTGTCCAAAGAAAATTCGTTATATTTCTGAAAGCTTCAAGCAAGCCCTTAATACAATATCGCACAGCCAGTTACTTAATATCAGACATTCATTATTTCCCATAGGCAACTTCAAATCAATTCCCTTGAGTAAACATAAAACAATCTTGGGTAAACAGTCATGAAATGCAATCAGTGTTTATTACTCACCAATTAAAATATATTTAGAAATGAAACATGGAAATATACCGAAATTGTGGTAAAGGCATCTCGCATAGACTCATCAGAATCTCTGCCAATCGACTCTGAATTTTGTTTATGACTGGTAGTGCCGTAATGATGGTTTATATCGACCGAACCAATGCTGCCATTGTCACTTCGAGCATTAGCTAATGGAGCACGATTTGAAATGGTTTCTTCGACCGCTCTCGACTCTACCGAATTCTTCCATTCACTATTCTTCATTGGCATTGAATATTGGACAGTTCTCGAAATAACGGGAGATCCTACCAAACCATCTTCTTGTGAAGAATAAATTTTGAATACATCTTTTGTTGGATAATCATAGTCACGGCCACCAAGCTAAATATAGGAAAATAGCTATCTCAATAAGAACATTAAAAGAGCAAAATCATGGAATACTGCGACATTAGGAATATGGTTTACGACTGAACTATATAGAGTTCGTTTAGCGCTGTTTCACCACTAAGAGTAGAAAAATTAGAAGCCATTTTTTAGAACTTTGAAGTCGCGCAAAGCAAAAAGGAAATGAACTATGTATCTCATATTATAATCATTCATTGCAAAAAATCTGTATTACCACTACAAGCATTGTTAAATAAATTCAGTAGAATAGGGTAAATCAAAAAAAATTAAATATGAAACGAAAGGTATAATTCACTGTGGTCATTAAGGATCGATGTTCTTTGAGAATTTCAAAACCAATTGACTGAAGCAGTAAAGAAAGCAAAATGGCCTGAAATCAAAATACTTTCTCATTTGGATTTATATTTAACCATCCATAAGGCCTATGGAGGAAATACAAATTTGAGCTCTCCAACCACAACCGCTTTGCTTCTGTTGGAAAATAATATCGAAGAAGCAGAAATTTTAGGAATTCAGAAAACTTCTTTGCCTATATCACATTTTCCTCGCAATCTCACAGCACACTCAAAGAAACTGTCAAAGCTCAAAAAAGCTACCAAAAAAAGGAATGTAGGATCTTTTCACGTTGATTATAAATGGAGCAGAATGAGTGAAGCAAAACCTGATTGGTATATAAAGCAATCCAGTGAAATACCCCTTTTGATATTAGATATTCAAAAAAGAATGTAAAGCCATTATCTTGCTGAGAAATGCGCCAAACACGAATTCTTGTTGCTCGAAATTCTGCACGCATAATCTGAAAAAAGAAAAACGGAACGGAATAAGAAATTGTTGAAAAAGAAATAGATGGGAGAACAATTTTAAAACTTAAAACATAACATCAAATACACTCACACCATCCTTCGCTCCCTCATCTTCGAATTCCAAAAGAATATGACGTCGACCAACTTTTAAATTGCATTCCGTTCCTGGTCGTGGATAATTACTTGAGCAGGGCTCCAAAACTTCATAACTATAGTTTGGCTCCAAATGACACAAACGTAGAAACTAAAGCAAATGTAATAAATTAATAACAGATCGATCATCTTCAAAACCAGTATGTCGGTAATCTTCGAAAAGGATAACAGATGAATACCTCATCTGATGCAATTCATTAAAAACAGGAAAGCTATGTAAAATTAAAGTAAAACCACAAACTTCGATAACACAATAATTCTCACAATAACTACCTCAGGTCCAGAACACACAAAATCAAACTATCTAATGCCTATTTAGAATAAAACATTAGCTAATAGTACTTCTTAAAAACTTCTAATAATCACTTGAAGAAAACAAAAATTTATTCACCTGAGTACAATTGCCCTGCTCTTCCAAAGCTAAAAGACGATTTTTGATTTCTGTTTGACGGGGTATAAAATGACCATTATATAGATCGCTTGCGGCCTAAATATTTCCAGGTTTCATTCTTTTTGCTCTAAAATAAAAATAACTCAAAAGTATAAAAACTAGTTACTAAAATTTTTTTAGGAAATAATTCAGGAAAGCTTTTATGGTTGCACGATTTTCCTGAAAATCTACCTATATATCTAACGCACCTTCGGTCAAAGTTATGGATCAGAAAAATGTACCTGCTTGTACAATAATAAAACAGCTCCGGGATCATCCATAAGCTCTTCCTCAACTTTTGGATCCCAGACTAATTTTCTAATAACAATGTAATAAAACACTCCTGTTGCTGCCGATTTCTGATTCAATAAATGAATTGATAAATAAGGTGATTCGAAATTTCGCAATAATCGCACAGCTAAATAAAAATTTAAGAAAAAACTCGTTCGCGTCTGAAATTGCGAAGCTATTATTCAACGTAATACTTATTTTAGTTTAATACTTATTCGTGTTTATGAAGTGCATCAGATTATTTAGTTCTGATTTCATCTTACATCTCTCCGTGCTTCCTTCTCAGTAAGGGTTTCTTAGTATCATTATTACTAAAAAAAGTTTCCATGAAAGAAATGCGCATTACGGCGTATTAAAAAATTGAAGTGATTCTTAAGGCTATTTAACTATTCCTTATCAAGAAATCACACTGTCTACAAACATATAAGAAATGAGAGAAGTCCAGAATTTGGAGAGAATATGATGAAGTGGGAAATCGAATTGGACTTTATGAATAATCCTGTGGTCTTGAAATTTGGTCCATGTCATTAAAATTTTGAGAACATTTCGGTAACTTATTACTTCATTGTTAAACTTATTTGTGTTCTTTATTACTACTATATGAATGACGAACAGAGTGTATCCGGATATTTCATCGAACCAAGAGAAGACATAAAGTGACCATCATCACTAGCATGCCGTCGTTTAGCCACAAATAAACCAAAATTTCCAATGTTTTCAATACCCAAACCAATAATATCAGCAAATCGCTAAAAATGAATTCCTTGTCTTTCAGAACCGAAAAATGCGATGAGTGTACATTTTTCTTAAAGAAATGAAAAAAGCACCTTTAAAATAATTTCAGTAGGATGTTCGACGTTGCAACGAACGGTTTCCTTGGTACCGTCTGCCATGAAAATATCAACCGAGACGTTACTTGATGATGGTCGAAATGATTCCTGAAGAAAAAGAAGACAATTTTTTTATGCAAAAAAAACGGTCGGAAAAATAAAGCTAAATTAACTCACGATTTGAAAATTAAGAAAAGCGTTTTCAGTTATGAAGTGTTGAGCGATTGACTGAAGCTGAATTACTGAAAACAAGACTGTAATAATATAAAATAAAAAAGAACAAATTATGATGCAACAAAGTAGGTAGTATCAAATAATGTATATTCCGCATATAACACTATTTGGCCTACTTCAGGCCAGATTTTAAGGACACAGGGATCGAGTGAAGATTTTCTCGTTCTTGAAGAAAGCACGCCAAACGAAAACTTGTTCTTCAAATTGAAACAATATTTCGTTCCAAAACTGACTTTAATCTATGTCCTTCCATACGCTTTGTACTGAATTTCAGCAAGAGAAAAAAAAACTAACTCGTTTGAAAATAACGCGCTAACGCTAGTCTCCTTTCTTCCAGTGTTTTCTGATCCAATATTCGGAATAATTTTTTTGATGGAAAATCAGGTGTTTTTAATTTCGGTCCAAAATGGCCACGTAACTTCTCATGAAGCTTCAATAAATGAGAATATCGTATGCTTGCATGATAAGCACCATTGACGTATATATCAAATGCCTGGAAACAAATGCATCCATTATATTTTATTACTTACCAATTGTCATTTACTGTAATAATTATTGTTAGAATTGTTGAAGATCAATAATTATTTCTAACCTCTTAATATCACGACAATAATGGTAACTGTGATATCAGCAACGATTATATTAAAGTAACTCAAAGGAAAAAAAACAATCCATAAAAATTAATAAAAGAAATTCAAGCATTAAAGGAGACATTAATTATTAAAAGAGACATTAAGTATTCAATACAATCAATTACTCCAAAATAATAATAAAACGATAAATAACATCAAATTGGTAACTGAAAAGAAAATAAACAACGCACATCATACGTACGGCTGCCATCTGTTTCAACTAACGTTTGCGTCGTTGGAATCGAAATGTGAATCATTTCTGAAATGAAAAATAATGAAATGAAATATAAGAGATAAACGAAATCGTCGTTCTTAGTTATCCGCCACACCTCCACTTCTACACTCACCCCCTCCGCCCTCCGCTTCCTCTTTACCTCATCATACTTCAGCTTACAGTTCCCACAAAATTAAAAAAAACAATCGCAAATGGTACACAAACCCGTGGAACGCAATATTGGCGACTCGAACAACGAGCCCGGATTTAAAATTTCGAATGTTGAATGTGAGGAAGACGGGAGTTGAAATTAGAGGTGGGAGTGAGAATTAAAAGGAGAGGGTGATTCTACCAAGTAGGAATAATAAAGATAAAGTCATTAATCGGAGTTCACATGATAGACTGAGGAAGATGGTTAAAATCGGAAATGAAAATAGGCAGAAAGTTGGATGAGTGGGTTTCTCTGAAGATTTGTTGCTATTCTGTGTTGTATTCGCAAAGAAAGAAATGGATCAATATATCTCAAATATATTTCATGATCTAATAGGGAATATAACTTTATTGATTATGCAGTGTTTTTTCATTCCTTTCTGTCTACATCAACAAAATACTTATATTCTTATCTTTACTTTCTTTTGATCATAATCGTGATCTTTTTTACGTTACTTATACGCGATTATGAAATTGACGGGGTTTGATTTGAGGAGTATTAACTGACGTAATGTTGTATTCAATATTTTATTATGGGAAAACTGACATTCATAACTGTACCGTAATCTGTTGCGGATTTTTTATAAAGTGGAGATAGAGTGAATTAATGCAAAGTGGGAATATTACAAGTGATAATTTCAGAAGATTTAATGTCGCTCAGTTGAAATTTAGACTTTAAAATCAAAAGTACGTTGAAAATTTACGAATGAACCAGGCGGCAAGAAATTTAAAGTCATTTTGAATTGAGGAAGTCTTTTGAAAGTAATTGATGAGCAACTGTAATTGGGAAATACTCATATTTAAAATGAATGAATTGTTATAATTATTAACACAGTTAAAATTGGTTAAAACATTTAGCAGGTCATAAAGAAGCAAAGTAACTATGAAAATATTTTAAGAAGTTCGCGAACTCCAAAAAGATTCTGTGTTTCCAACTGCAATGAATGTAAACAAGCAGCAAAAAACTGTGGAAGCTACTGAAAATTTTCCTGATGGATCGATTACAAGAATCATTTTCAAAAATTTCCTGTAAGTTTCTAACTGCTACAATGGAACGTGCACAGGTCATAATATATGAAAGTAATGTACTCAACAAAAATGTATATCATTAATGAACAAGAACTGCACATGTATAAATCATCTAGGTAGGCATGCCAAACGACCTGTAGAAATAAGCAAATTTATCGAAAACTGTACAAATAAAATAGCGACATGAATATGTACTGATTGGTATAAGAGTGTACTTGGATCGAATATGTTATTTTCATGGCTTATTAGATGTTTTGTATCACAATCTTGGAAACTTAGATACTTCTCTCTCAGCTAAAAATCTTAAAATTAGTAAGATATTTTTCTAACAAAGAAAGGACAAGCAGAATGACATGATAAAAGAACACCGGAGGAGGAAAGGGGGAAAAACGCTGAGGTAAATTTGTGGAAAAAAAGAAAAGGTAAATCATTTCTTTATATCGTAGTGCTCTGTTCCTGAAGTGGAGGCCGAAAAGGTGGTGAAATAATGCCTTTATTTATTTTCTCCTTAAAAATTTGGATCATTTCACCAATGTGGACCATTGAACACATATGAAAGTATCTTTCCACTTTCAATGTTTATTGAACAAGCAACGAATTATTCCAGTTATTGTTAACCTTACCATATTCACTAGATTGGATTAAAAAATTCATTAATTTTAATTTGCTTCACTTTATGTAATTGTGTTAGTTGCGAAAAGGTTACAAAATTCCTAAATATTTGATTTCAGTTAGTAATTTCAGGACTTACGAATATATGGATATATTTCCTGGTCCAAATTTGAATGTTATTATTGGACCAAATGGGACAGGTTGGTACCTACCGCTTTTATATAAGGCATTTTGATTTTTTAAGCCTCCAACCTTAGATGAGAAATGAACTAAAATAGTAAACACCGAATTTAAGATAATCATTTCTTGAATTTGATGTCATACTTCATTTTATTCTTTTAAGGTAAAAGCACAATTATGTGTGGTTTATGTCTAGCAGTTGGTGGTACTCCGCGATTATTGGGACGTTCCGAACTGTTAGCTGATTATATCAAGCATGGTTTGGAGAAAGGATCTGTTAAAGTTTTCATGTAATTACTTCTCTTGCTTATCATAAGATCGTTGAACAAATATGTGTAAGAGAAGTTGGAATTGCTCACTTTGCAACAAATGTTGAAAAAATTGAAAATATGAATATCCTTTTTATATTGGTATTAGAATAATTTTAGTCGTGATTCAAAGCTTGGAAAGGATCGGACATTATCGATTGTTTTGCATCGATCCGGCTGTTCTGATTATTTTGTTGATGATGAGAAAGTAACGCAAACAAAATTGCGTGATATTGTTGAAAGCTATAATATCCAGGTGAAGTACTAAATTCTTTGATCTAAGTGCTAGCTGATCTTGGGTCTACTGTTTATTCTGAGGTTCTCTTGCAAAATTTTTGCTGTACAATGTCTTTATTTTCTGTTATATTCCATATCCCTGTATGCGTCTAAAAATTTTTAGTTCTAACCTAATATTACAGAAGTAAGTTCTGCATGCATATAACGAGGAAGTTATGGCAGAACAGAGTATACAAAGTTAACACATGAAGAATATCATAAATTAGGTACAAATGGAGAAATGATAACTGATCGAGAAAAAGTAAAATTAAATGAATAGGTTACCCCAATGTGAACGAAGAATTGTACTGGAAAAGTGCTTTGGACTTTTTTCTTAGCAAATTATATTAATTTCTTTGCTGCAAATTAACTTCGATCATATTTACCTCTTAATAACAAAAGATCTAAAGCACTATTGTTTTTGTGATTTTTATTAAAGGCTGAAGTGAAAATGAGTGCGTTTCGTAAAAGCCACTGAACAAAAAGAATGTATTTAAGATATATCTTTTTATTGATTTTGCTGGAGATAACTTAAAACTTATAACATTTCAGTCACAAATTTCAGATTGATAATCCATGTACATTCCTCGCGCAGGATAAAGTGAAGAGTTTCGCGGAACAAAAATCATACGGTCTTCTTAAAAACACAGAAAAAGTTAGGGCTAAAAACTTTTTTGGAAAAAAAAATTTTTTTAAACATTTTTGTGACTTTGTAATTATGAGCCATTTAAATTAATATTATATTCAGGCTGTTGGGAAGAAACTGGTCGACTTACACAAGAGCATTTATCACATGCGATTTACTCATTCACCTTTTTCACATACGAAATAGTTCAGTCATTTTTCTTTCTTTCTATTGCTCCATTTAGTTCTGTAGAAGTGTTGTATTTTTTTCTTTTTTTGGACTTAAACATCTTCGAATTTTGAAGCTTGGAAGAGCGTTTAAACTCCGTGCAAAGTGAGTTGAAAACGCTGGTTCCTCTAATTGAAAATTACCGGCGACGTGAAACAATGCGAGAGCGTATTCGACTTCTGCAATGCAAACAACTTTATCTCGTTTGTTAATATCTTGTTTTTTCTTTCTCTTTTTTTGGAATTTTTTCCAATTGTGTCCAAATGGTGCGCCATTTTCCTTTTCGCAGTATAAGTGATTTGCCCATTTACTTTGATGTAGGTGACTGATGATATTTTTCTTTCCATTTATGCCTGTAACGAAAAGTTTTTCTAATTTATTAATGTTGAGATAATACTTGTGCGTAATTTACAGGAGTATTTGGAGGCAGAGATGGTCGCTCATGAAAGAATTCATTATAAGCGGATGAAAGAGCAGGAACTTGAAGAGGTGAACATTCACCGTCCAAAATTTGAAAATTTTTAGTCTCCAATTTTGGGGCAAGTATTTAATCTCCCACTTAATCATTTCCTTTCTTTACTCCCATTATTTTCTAAATTTATCTTCTTTTACTACCTCTTCTGCTCTTGCATGATGAAAATATTTTTATTAATAACTCAGTTGAAGATTTCTGCATTATAGTATAGTGAAAATTCTCTTTATTCTTCATTATTTTTAGACTCTCAAGTTGTACACCTATTCAAAGTTCATAATTAAAAAATCTAACTCCTTGTTGTTGATTAATGCAGAATTATAGGTTGCTATCTAGATTTAGGAAGGCTACTTAGTACTTTTCTTATGTCTTATAATAAGCAAATATTGTACTTCCTGGGAATTTGTAACAGACGAAGAAAGCAATGTTACCTATCAAAAATCTCTTGGAACAACAAAAAATTGTCAATGAAAAGTATAAACGCGAAGAAAGGAATGCCGTTAGTTCTTTCTTTATTTGCTCATTGATCTATTTTTGAATTCTGTTGAGAGAACTCTTTTTAAAAAATCAACGAAAGCAGAACAATTACTGGTTGCATTTGCAGCTTTAAGTTAACATTAACATCAATGTCTAGCTGGATCTGTAAAATTTTCTCGTTAGAAGGATGGAATTTATTAATTTGTATATTATGTGTATTGTATTTTATCGTATCTTTTGTTAATTCCTTTCTGGAAAACTAATTTTTTCAAATTCTATTCTTGCAGTGAAATGAAATTCATTAGGCATAAAAAGGTTTCAGATGGATGGATTGTTGACAGTACAAAAGGAAACGGAAAAACTACTTGCTATTGAATCAGTGGATGAATCGGTAAGTAATGCTGAGTTTTTTCCAAAAATAGATGAAAGTCGTTGGAAAGTCGGCACGAAATTTTTTTTCAAGTACTGTTCTAAATGTTCATACAATGAGTAAAAAGCAATAATTGTTGGAACCTGCTGTAAAACATACATGGAGATTGTCGTGCCATGGCTTACGGAAACAAAATTATATAACATTGCTATTCTTTTTTTCTTTTCGGCGATAATATTAAATTGTAGGTATTGAGTGCGAAAAAAGATTATGAACAGGCTAAAAAAGAGTATGATGAGTGGGAGGAAAAACTAAGTGCCGCACGAACAGAACACAATCTTTTGGAAGAGAAACTTGCTGTTGCGGAGCGGGAATTTATGTCCATGGAGGTATCCTATGTTGCACTATCAAACAAAGAATCTTTAAAATATAGTAACTGTGTCAGCCTTCAGTTCATTTGTGTTTATAAAGTAAATGTAGAGGATTTGATTTGGATAGGTTAAGGTTGATATCATGCACTCATAGTATCAAAGCAGCGCAGTCATTTTTAAGAATGTCGAAAAGAGCACTACTTATTGCTGACTAACTCCAGATCATGCAGTTTTAGTTTTGGAAACTCAATTAAATCAGGTGAAATAATAAACGAGTTAAATTGAAGGCTTAGAATCTTAATCTTTTTTGAAGTTCTTTATTTACTGTCTGTACATTTAGCTTGCAAGGAATTTTTTCATTGAATGTTTTTGTTGAAAATTCTCATTGAAGATGAGAAAAAATTCTCATTGAAGAAAATCAAAATCAGTTTTTGTTACAGAACGAAAATTCGGCAATCAAGAAAGAATATTTGGAGTGGAATATAAAAGAAGAAGAGTTGGATAAGCAAAAATCAGTATTGAGCAACAAAATTGGTGAAATCGATTCTAAAATACGAAGTTTGTGTTATTCACAATTCTTTGGGATTTTTAAATGAAATTATGCAAAAAATAGAACTTAAACTACTTATGTCATTATGGCTTTCAGCATTTAATTGAATGTTTTGTTTTAGCTGTTATGGAAGCGATTGATGCTGATCAGCAGTCATTTCGGAAGAAGTTTGTTGTTTTGAAAGGAAATGGTAGGGAGATGAAATGTGGCGAAGCATGGCAGTGGTATGAATCGCAAAAAGAAAAATTTCGGCACCCGGTTTTTGTGCCTTTGTTATTTGTGAGTGCTCGGTGAATTTTTTTAGAGTGTGATTTATCTGTTATGATCTATTGAGCTGTTGTCATATTCCATTGGAAGTACCATAGCGACGATTGTTCAGTTAAACAACAATTTCAATCAAAATGATTTAATTTGATTTCTCTTCGAACTGATTTAAACGTATGGTTAGAGATACCAACATCTTCTATTTTCTGAAAGAGGATTGAAATTACGACATTGTAAGTAGGTTACAATAAGGATGGATGGATGCAAGGAAAGAAAAGCAATAAGAAAATTTTTGTTCGTCGTAATGGATTTCTCTGGTATTATGGATAGAATATTTCTTAAATCTTTGTGTTACTACATGAGAAATATTTGTTTAATTTTTAATTTTAGAGATACCTTCCACTTTCAGATGTCTTTGGTCAGTGATGATGCCGCAGTTTATTTAGAAAATATCATTGCGCATCGTGATTTATTAATGTTTATATTTCGTTGCAAAGAAGATGAATTATTGTTGACGGATAAACGACACCCATGGAAAATTAATTCATGTATCATAAGCGATAACGAGGTTAACTGTTTGCTCTTTTCTTTTTAAACGATTACAGTATAATTTGCTACTTTTGTTGTGATAGTTGGCTTCCATTATCATACAGTTCTTCTGTTGTTATCAATAAACCTACTTAATTTGTTAATCTTTGACAATTGACTGATGTGGATTGAATTTTTTAATCATTTTATATTGTTTCACACTTTTCATTCTCTTCAGAAAAATTTAGACATGAAATAAGAATTTGTTGTTTGTGAATGATTTTAAGAGATCAGTTTAAGAATTTACCGAAATTCCAGATAGCGCACTTTCAAAAACAAGAAGCGATGCCTGCACACTTATGTTCCCTCGGATTCACTTACATGGCATCAAATCTCTATACTGCACCTGACCCCGTAAAAGCATATTTAAACAGTGTTGCATCGGTGATTATTAAATTTTGGATTAGCAAAAAAGTCAGAAGTGACGCTACTATTTAAAATTTTAGTCAGTTTTCGGATGATGTATCATTGAATGTACTTTTTACCTTTTTTAATATAGGTTGCTCTGAGTTGCATGTCTTGGCACCTCTTCACAATTTAAGTAAAGCTTTATTAATAATGATAACTTCACCTTAATAAATTCCATACCTTTTTTAGTTACATAAAATCCCCATTGGTACCCAAATGACAGAAAGCCGCTTGGATGAAGTTTGCGAAGCACTCAAAAATTCCCATCGTTTATTTCTGACGAATTCATTACGGGTAATTCTTATATTACTGTTTTTTGATTTTCCACTACTATTAAGGAAATTAAAAGAAGTAGTCGACATCTTGCATGTGGTTTTTTTTGAAAATCAGTGTGCTATCATATCCAAAATGACACAATGCCCGCATTATGAATCACGTTGTTCTGTGTGAAAAAGACGATTGATAGTGTTTGATATTTTTAGGTGCGAATCTCTATATCTCGCTACAGCGGTAATTTGTCAGTCCGAACAGAAGCGTTACGTACTTCCTTACGACTTCTTGTTGTTCACACTGCTGTACCTAAAAGTAATGCACGAAGTCTCAGTGAGTTGGAAAAACAATTAGCAAAGCTTAAGGAACTCGCAAATGAGGTTACTCTTTGGCACTCTTTTATTTCCTTTGGTCTCCATTGTAGTGAAAAGATTTCATATCGACATTTTGGAATAACATGATCTTGTGGTAATAGTGTTGTTCAATTAAAAATCGTAGAAGACTTCTAAAGCTTTCCATACTTTTCTTTAGATGCGACTGGCTCGTGAGAATATTGGACAAACAGAAAAAAATATCGCGCAGGGGCGAGAAAGATGTCGTAGAAAGATGGTACGTGTTTGTAAGTTTATTTGTCGGAAACGAGGTAGAAATTCTTAGAGTGCTTACATTTTGACTAAGCTTTTATTACATATTATTTCATTCCATATTGTGCATTTAAACATCCATTCTGCACTTTACATTTTAGGATGTAATTATCAAAAAGAGGGATGCGCGAAACATCATTTCAAATCAACTGCGTTCGAGAGCTGCAAGGTTCTTTTTTATTTTGCGACAAAAATTTGTTTTAGAAAGACTCATTTTGATTTACTGATTGCTGCAGTTTGATAGAAATTATTTAATTTGAAGTGCAAAATCTCAAAATTAAATTTTATTATGATTTCTAGAATGTTCTTTTTCATTTGTTAATCACAAAGATAGGTTAGAGGACGGCGGCGACGACTATAATTTGCTTTGCAGGGTGCAAGCCATTGAAAATGATAAACCCGATTTGAATGTTGCTGCACAAAACTTCCAAAAAGTTAAGAATGAAATCATTACAAAGTCGTTTGAGCGAGCTGAAAAGATTGCGAAATTAATGGTATTACTTTTTTTTAAATTTCAAAAGGATATTTAAAAACATTTCCATAACCTGATAAAACATAGTTTTAAAGTTCGAAATAGTTGGTATTTTTTCTTTTTTGCCTTGTAGCATTTTTATTTTTTCTGATACTTTTTATATCATTTTTTTATGTTTGCATCAGACCTTTTTAATTTTATACTACTCGTTGTCAGCGCTTGTCATTTTGCCCCAACTTTATTAGCTAATTATTTATGCTAATTTAGGATGTCCTTCCGAAGGATCCAATAAATTTATCTTATTAACAGGCAGTATTTAAATAAGAGGTGCCATTAGTTCTTGCTTAATCTTTCTAGATTGAATATTTTCAGGCAAGGAAAAAATTACTCATTCAGAATGCATTATTTGCAACATTAAGTGCGAAAAAGGTGCTAAAAGACTTGGATACATTGCAGAAACGATTGAACCACTTTGAGGAGGAATATGAATCTAAATCGGTATTTTACGAATTCTTCTTAAATTCCAAGCTTAATCTGCATTCGTGTTCCGAATACTCTTGAAAAATGCTGTTTAGCAGGTCTCTTCAAAATTATTCTTGATATTTTTTTTGAGGATGCAATCAGACATACTGAAATAACCGTTAAATTGGCAATGCAAAGAGTACGAGAAGACAAGCGACGATTGTATGAATCAGTCGGTATTGAGGATTCATCTGCAAGCGAAGCGGCTGAAGCATTAGAAATTTTGAAAGCGGTTTGTTGTTGGTAGAATTAATATAGGTATAATTTAATCATACGCTGTTATTCAATGGGAGTAAAATGCTGTCGACGTATTTTAATGCAATAATTTTAATATATGTTGCTGCAAAGAAATTTTGACATCTGACAACTATTGTAAGGCACTATATATCCATGTAGTTAATGTTATGTAACATAGGAATTATCAGGAATAATTGCCCAGTATCGTCAAATTTGTGGATGAATTATATGTATGTTGTTTGCTGTAAGATTTCATACTGAATAGAACTGTAAATTATTTTCCTGAAAATGGTTTTCAGTGGTGGCTTCAAATCTGTTCTGCTTTTATTTCATTGTTTACGAATGTCTCAAATTTTTAGGGCTTTGATTTCCACGCAATTCCGAACACTAAGGAAGAGATACAAATCGAAATGGCACGTGAGCAGGGAAAATTGGATGCATTACATAGTGAAGGAGAGAAAAAAGTTAGTTTCGGAGACCTCTTCTTTGTTACATATTCGGTCGATAAATTTTCAAATAAATATTGTAATTTTTCACTTAAAAAAAAGAATGAGTCACTTTTGAAAATAATGTCGTTTTGAATTGATAAAAGCGTTATATTTTTGTGAGCAGGAGTTTTCCATTTATTTCCTTATGCTACATCATATTTTAGGATATTGAACGTTTCGAAAAACTAACACGGAAAAGAGAATCTCTCATTAAAGAAACAACTGCTAGGAAGAAAGACGTATGTGCTCTTTGTAGTTTTTTCTTTAGATGTTTAGCTTTCTTAATTATTTCATTTAAAGAGGTTGAACTTGCAGGAAGTAAACATTTCAAAAAATAAGGCAAACTGAGCATAATATTTTAAGCTAAGTAAACAAATAAATGGTTGTGTGGAGATGTTTATTATTATTTCAGTACCAGAGTAGAAGTACTTTTATCCATTATCGAAAATCGAAATGATGAGGGGTTGCTTGATAGTCCTTAATTTTCCCGTATATTTCCTTGGTAATCCTTAATTTTTCCTTGGTATTCTGTATTTAAGGTCGATGAATGGGAAAATAAGCTCAATGGCTCGTTGGAACAGTGGCTGCTTCAATTGGAAAGTGTTGTTGGAAAATTGAATCAACACTTTAGTTCATTTTTTGAAAATATGGGATGTTCTGGGGAAGTTCATCTTCAGAAACCTGACGATAAGGTTAGTTTGAGGTTTTTAGTTGTAGAAAATTTTTCGAAGTATTCCTTCATTTCTTGCATGGTTTATGTTAATGAATTTCCCTTTCTATGTGTAATTGGAACCGTTTCATTCCTTGTTTCTAAATATTTGTATCATTGGACACATAAATTATTTTATTCGTCTCTCAGTTTTTGATGAAAAATACAAGTCGTCTCTTATTTTAACTACTCATTTCTAACTTTTATTTGCAGCTGGATATTCTAAAGTATGGCATCATAGTAACTGCCAAATTTCGGGAAGGTGAGAGACTTCGACAATTAACGCATCAGGTGAGTCTATACATACTTCAAGTTTGTAATCTATAACTCTGTTTATTTTTCTCTGTTTCTCTGATTCTTCGTTGTCATGAAAATTAATTTTTCAAGATAATGGATGGCTTAATTGTTTATATACTTGACATTCCGGATAATGTGAGATTTCACATTGTAGACACAGTCAGGCGGTGAACGTAGTGTGATCACAATGCTATACATCTTGGCATTGCAAAAGCTAACCATAGTGCCTTTTCGTTGTGTCGATGAAATCAATCAAGGTATCAAGTTTATCGATATTTTCTAACGAAAATCAGGTTTATTTTAAAGTCCAAGAAATTGATTGTAGACCTGAATAAAAATGGTGTAGTGTACTGTAGGATAATTTTTCGCAGCAATGCAGTCCTGTCCCTGAATTTGAAAGTAGCTATCCTATAATTAAATTGTAGCATGCCTTTTTCGTTAGAACCATTCTGATTGATTCAGTAAGTTAGGCTTATCAAGCATCTTCAATAATCAGTAATAAGCACGTTCAAAATTTCGGAGATCGCGCTATGGTTCGAAATTGTTCGATATTATTTGTCCATACTATGAGATGTTAATGCAGGTCTTCTGTTAATATAGAATGTTAACATATGATGTGTAACATTTAATTAGAGAATAGAACAGGAACATTAATAGTGACGGTATATGGATTATAAATTGGATGCGTTAATAAAGCGCGAGTAAAAATTTGTAAATTGATGGTATTTGTTTTGAAGAATATTTCAAATTAGGTGATTGATAAGAGTTAGTGTTTTTTTTTGTTTCAGGAATGGATCCAAAAAATGAAAAGATTGTATTCAATATGATTGTAGATATGCTTTCCAAAGATAATGATTTAACAAAAACGCAGTATTTTATGTAAGTTTCTCCAAGAGTGAATTAGAAGAATTCCATCTTCTCTAATAAGAAATTTGACATAGCTGAGAAAAAGGATGTTTAGATATTGCATGTGGCCATACATTGTGTGTGATAGTAAGTAAATTTTCCAGATTCATTATGATTACAAAAATTTCAGACTTACTCCTAAACTAGTGCCTGATCTCAAATTTAATCAAAAAACGAAAATTCATTGCATTTACAGTGGCGGAAAGCTTACTAAGCGTAACGTAAGTATAAATCTTATTTCAATAATTTTCTTCAAGGATTCCATTTTTTTCGATAAATGATAAAATGCTTGCAATAAAAGAGGAATTAAATTACAGCGATAGAGGCGCAAGATGTATAGTCCAGATCATGTGACATTTTTTTCAAAGCTAATTAACTATCTCTCGCTTTAAGTTTTTGAAAGAAATAATTTATCCTTAGCGATATTCAAATATAATAAAAAAATGAAGCTTAGTGTACTTCCAGAGTGAGATTTTTTCTTAGAGTGATGTTGAGTGTTTGTATAGGAAACAATCATAAATTTGAACTTATATTTAAATATCGCTAAGGATAGACGAAATTTTTCCTTTCAGAAACTTAAATCTACCCGATAACATATTTTCTTGATATCATGAGAAATATTTCCTCGAGACAAAATACTCTTAGATATTGCTGCATATTTATTAGGAACCAGTGAGAAATTAACGATCACTTAATGATCAAGCGTGCCAACTGGAATGTAACACTCTTGGATTTCATTAGACTGTGTTGGTTATTCCATGCTTCTAAAACGTTTATTCATATTAGCATTTAGGATGTTTTGAAGTGAAGGAATTAGTAGGAGAAAGAAAATGGAGATATTGTAAGTACATCCTAAGAATAAACTAAAGAAACTGAAAGTTTCAAGATTATATTCAAAAATTTATGCGGCAAACAAAATGCAGTTGAATATTAATTAGAAAGCGACAGTTTAAATTGCACTGTTTCAACTTTCAAATGAAATTGCAAATCAATAGCCATTTTCATTTCAGAGTTGGAGTGTTTCGGGATTTCTTGATAGTATACGCAATCGGCAAATAATTATAGATTCATAGAATATAAACAGCCCTGTGGTGATTCACAATAATATTTTTGTTCTCGCAAATTAAAATGATCTCATATTTCATAGTTTTGATCTGTGACTATCATCAAATCTTCCTGTATTTTTATAGAAAGGTTTTCTACTGTTTGTATATTCGTTTAATTCCATTTTAGTTTTTTACTGGTATATTAAATGCGCAATAATGCACTACTTCTATATTCATTTTCTTATTATTAATTTTTTTACTTAGCGTACCGTAGCTTTTATTTATTTCATATTAAATGCTTTTACGGGTAATTAATTTCAACCAATTCATGCGTTTGTTTTCATTGTGTCTTGTTCTATCTTTGTGGTCTCATTTGTTGTTTTTTAGGAAAGCTATTGACTATTTGAGTAGTTCGAAATTTTTATGAAAAGTCCTCCAAAAAAATATAAAAGGTCAATTCCTTTAAAATTGTAAATTTTGTCTATACTAATCTACGCAAACAAATTATTACTCATCATCTTTGGACAAAATTCTTTTAAAGAGTTATTGTTTTTGTATTGTCTTCATTTCTTTTTTTTTTGCAGCAACAGAATTGTAAGATTTCGTAGGAATTCATAGGAATGAAATTTTCAAATAAATTTTTCTATCAACAACACATAATAGCTAGCATGTTATGCATGCTACCCTTCTGAAGGAAAAGGCAAGAGGTTTGCTTAAGTTGTAATTTTTTCTGGTTCAGCCATTATTTCAGTATTCATTTAATATTTGAAAATACTTCTATTAGGCTGGGTTGGATTTTTCAGATTTAAGATAAATAGTAATTCTAATTACAATTAGCAATAATATAACAGCATTAATTGATCAATTAAAATCGGAAAGATTGTTGTATCCTTGGCAATACTATCTCATTTTTTTTCCTAGTATTCTGATTTACAAAAAAATTTACTGAAGTCTCTTCTGAAACCATTCCATTTAACGTGCGTGGAAGCGATCGTCCGTACCGTTGTTGAAGTTTCGTCGATTCGGTTGGTTTCAAGTTTGACTGGGGACGGCTTGTCCGTTTCGTATGTATCCGTGAGGGAAGCAAATAGATTTCAACGCTGCAAAAATCTGAATTTGAATTTGTATGCTTATGAATGCAAGAAAATTGATAATAATTGTGTCCAGCTGGACAAAAATAATAATAGTAACAAGAAACAAACAGCATAACAGACGACAAATTAAACGAGTGTTTAAAAAATGAAAAATATACTTTTGACAGTTTTTGTGATTAATTTGAACACGTCTCAATCGTGTCGATCTCACTCCATTACTTCTAAGAGATGAATCACAGTAAGCAAGCAAATGCTGCATCTGTTCCGATAAGTATACAGAAAATGGGAATTTCAATTGAGCAATGTAATAGAGAAGATAGAGAAAGCCATGAAATGATAAACCTGAATTGTTTTGCTTTTGTTATAATAATTATTCATTGATTATCGATCCAATATTATGCAAAATTTGATTCTGTATTAGATGGACTATTAATTACTATCTATAATTAAGTTTTGAAAATTGGAAATAGTGAGATTTCTCAATGACAAACTTAAAGCAACTATAACCAGTATGTTTGGCTAATTTAAATTAAATATTATGAATAAATCAGTTACTCATAAATTGGCTCATTTTGAATTAAATAGCCTTCATTAATTGATATAATATTTATAATAATATTTTATTAGCAATATTTTCTATTGCTATTTGTTTAATTAATTTAAAATTATAATAGAATTTAATAATTATGAGAAACAAACCGGAGACATATGGGATATATTCGTTTACCGTAAAATATTTGTAAATTTCCATAAATTTTATTTCCATTTCCTCCGTTGTTATTGTATCTAACAAACTGCATTTCCTGTAAAAGAATAGAAAAAAGGGAAAAGAAAATTTTCATTTAAAGAATTGTGAAATCTATCGGCTTATTTTAATTGTCAAGTAAAGATTATATAGTATATTGATTTATTTTATCTCACAAGACATTCTTTATATCGACTCTCTTCTTCTGGGATGTGTCAAATGTCTCTTCTCAGGATGTGTCAACTCTCTCTTCTCGGGATATGTCAACTATCTCTTCTTGAGATGGATTAACTCCTTTTATTAAATTATGTTCGTATCAATTCTAAAAATGATAGTGAAATATGAAGTAATATTAGTCGCTACTTTGATAAAGTTACCTAATAATTAAATGAGCAAATTCGTTAAATTATATTTTCATTCATTACCATTAAACTTTAAAAACAAACTTTAAAAAAATTCGAGCACCGGAAATTATCAAAACTGTTGTTTGTTTCAAATTTACAAATTGCATAAATAAATAAACAGCTTTGTCTAAAAACAGCAAATGTCCACTGCTGTGACCGTAGCGACATGGAAAAATCTAAATAATGAAATTTAAAAAATTTATCAGTAAACAAAAATTATGTTAATAAATATGGAAAATGGTTATTTTGCTGATTTCATACCTCTGTTAGATGGCATCTTCGCTTTACTGCAAATTCATTGCCCATATTATCCATTGCTTTCCGTGTACAGTTATTATTCCTATGTGTTAAATTGCTAAAACGAAATTTAATTTATTTTTGAATTGTAAATTTTAAAAAATATTGCAAAAATTAGAATTGAGAAAAATTGAAGAAAAATGAAGTAATATAAATATTTTGTACTTCTAGACAACAACAACAACGACAAAAAGTAAACAAAAGCTAAAAATTAAAATTTTACAAATTTTATAATTAAAATAATCACTGATAAAACTAACGCTGGCGACTGAGTCGGATAAACATCATCAATTAAATTGAGAACTAAAAGAATTGTATCTCTTACCAATGGAATTTTAATAATCTGTAATAATGATAAATGATGAAGTATTCACATTAAAACATTTTGAAACTTTAGCAATGATTGGACATAAAGTTATGTGGATTCGGCGGCCAGAACTTCTGGACTTTTCCAGAAAATTGCTTTTGGCCTACCCATTTATAGAAAATAATTGAATAGTTATGATGATTTCTTCGTCGGAAATGCAGGATATGAATAGATTGCTTATTGTTTTATCATCAGAACTATCATTATGCTCATTACTAACAAAAATATCATCATTTTATAATTATTAAGAAGTTGTCATAATTGTTTATTTTAGTTACTTATAGCTGTATCCTTTAACTGGTGATAAAAGTAGTGATAATTTTAGGTACTAATAGCAAATCTGTAATACTAGAAATTTATGATCAAAAATTAAAAGCTTAAGCTTTTTTGATTAATATCATTTACTATAAACTTGTTCCTAAGTTTTTGAGCTATCATTTATATCTAAAAATTTCAATAATTAATTTCATAATTTCGTTATTACATAAATTGTAATTTAGTAAAAGTTAAAATTGAGGTGAAAATAATTTATGAATTAATCAAACAATACTCACTTCGTCCACAACAGAGCGTACCCTTATAGGTTGAATATTTTCCTTGTTATCATCAAATGGATATAAAATATCGTGCTCGATCGTTAAGCTAGGAGATGAATTTACTTCCAACAACATTGGTACCAAATTTTTTGTAATCAGTATATCAAAACCTATTATCTGAAAGCAAAATTTGTTTTGTTGAGAATATAGGAAGAAGTTTCCTTTAAAATTAGTATTAATATTGATAACATTAATACTGACTTATGCGCATTTTATTGGATCAATTTTAATTTTATTTAATCACTCAAAAATTATCAATATAAAGAAATTACCAAATTTAATCAATAATTTAAATCAATTCATTAAATAGTTCATCTATTGTTATATTGTTATATTGAAAAGAAATCAAACTGAACTAATTTCCATTGTTGAAATGAATTAATTGAAATACTTCAATCATATACCTGAAAGCATTGTAAGCCTACTGTATCATAGAAATAATGCTCGTAATTGAGAATAATTTCAGGTAGCATTGCAATTACCGTTTTAACAATTATTATTTTAATATCATGCCATAACTGCTGCTTTTTTACACCTCGCGCTTCCATTTGATGAAAAACGGTGGACAGTAATCGTTTACTTCCTAAAATAATATCGCGAAGATTTTAATTTAAGGATTATGAAATAATTTTAAAATCCAATAATTAATAATAATAACAATTAATAGCAATAGTAATCAACTTGGGAAAGGTAGCATTTTTTTTATTCAAAATCACATGCTAAAATTTAAATTAGGTTATGACAAAGGTTTAGTTTTATATTAATTAAATAATTATTCAGTAACAAGTTTAAAATTATTTGGTCAAAATTTCATCATTTATAAGTATAAAAAAGAATATCTAAGGAATGGAAAGAAATTAAAGCTTGTCATCATCTTCGGTGATTTGAACACCTGTCTTAATTGACAGCCTTAAATATAATGTAACCTTTGATCTGATCTCGTAGGGATAAACTGTGAATGTAAGCGTTATTCTCTTTATTCAATGAATAATTTGTCAAATGAGCATATAAATTGCCAAAATTTGATGAGCTTGGTGTCGCATATTGTTCCGTGCAAAATCGCGCCATACCTGAATTAAAATAATTCAATTAAACAAAATTAGGAAATGGTTGCGGAATCAGTTTAAACTTCTTCGATTATTAAGAAAGAAATTTATTTTAACACTATTTTATTCGCGCATTTTAAATTTAAAATTATTTTACAATTTAAATAATTAATTAAGCAATAGGAAGAGGTGTTTCAATAATGTGATAATGGCAATCATGTTGAAATTACTGAGATTACTTAATTTTAATTCCCTTCACATTATCTATATCTATTTTTTCTTTAATTCGATCAATATGCTAATAGAAAATTCACTCTTTCGATTTATGCTTCTAAATTTACCTTTAAAATTTTACGCTAAAAAGCTGTCATTATGATCGAATTATTAATAATATCAATTCTGGAAATTTTTTCTGTTAGGGAATTTTTATTGAAATATTTTTTTGAAGTATAATTTGTATTCTGTAAATGGCAAGCATTTATGAATTGAACCTTCTCGAGCAACATAAATTGACAATGGATTGATGCTTTTGATGACAGCATATACGCGAAAATCAAATTTCAGATTATCTTTCAATAAATAAGGATCCGCAATATACTGTTGAATTAGTTGACACGTTTCAGGTTTCCGTATTTGATCTGGTTTTTGGATTAAATAAATTCCTGTTCCCTGAGCTCCTGTAATGTGAATTACTTTCATCATATGATACAATAGAAGTTCAACACGTTTGAGTTAGTTAATATATGCTTAACATGTGAACATGATTTAAATAATGCGTAACATAAAATTCACACATCTTTGTGTATAGAAGACAATGAGAAAAATTAAATTTGAATGAGTTGAAAGTTTATTTACCATCATCCGGCTTAACAATATACCAATTGCTATTCCGGAATGATGTCGAATTGTCTTCGGCTTTTTCACATTTATCACAATGCTTGATGAATGTATCAAGTTGTGCCGGAATAAACCAACTTAAAGGATAAAATGTATATTCATCCGGAAACAAACGACGCATTGAAGAAATTGCTCGCGTTAGCGAAATTTTCTTCGATAAATCTGACATTCCTGCAAAAATAAAAATCGTACAACAGAAAGAAGATATACTTATTATTTTTTCAAAAATTAATTTTTAACAAATTATTTAAAACTTATGAAACCATTTGGATAGTATACCCGACCATATTGCAAAACAAAACAAATGATAATAAATAGCATGGCTAATTATAATTGAGAATTTTAAACTGAATAAATGAATATAATGAATCAATATAAACCTGGAAACTTATTAATTTTAGATTGAGAATTTTTGACAATAGATCTTATATCGTGTTGCATATTATTATGCCAATAAATGTCACATACGCCACCATCTTCTCGTCCTTCCGGATACTGAAGTTTAGCATTAACTGGATATAATAATTTAAAAGGAAATTTAAACTAAATTTACTTTATTATTTTTCTTTTAACTTCAGCAATTATAATTAATAATTACACTGCATATTACTAAATTTTCTTTTATAAAATTTCATACATGCATATATTGCATTCCTTTTATTAAGTAATTAATTTCTAAATAATGAAAATTTTGAAGGAAAATAAAATGTTATGATTTTTTTACTAACCTCACGCATACCCAATTTTGCAGCACATATTGAAACGACGTGCCTATTTGTCTTAGCACGTGATGTATCAATCGTAAAATTTTGTGCAACAGCTTCAGCATAACCAAATGATGAAAATGGAAATGAAACACTGCAAAAATTGCAACACAATGAAAAATTCTTTAAAAAAAAAACTTAAATTTTAATAATACTGATAAAATTGATAAGAATTCGCTAATTTTCTTTAAAATAACCTATCAATTTTATAGATAATAGCATTTTTTGTGAAGAAAAAGGAAATATTTTTGTTAATAAATTATCAAATTTAAGAAAAAATTTTCTTTTAATAATTACACTGAATATATTATCAAACAGTTTACATTAATAAAAAATTTTTGATTTGTCTAATAAATAACTCAAATTTGCTGATAACAGTTTATCAATTAAGTATAATAGATAAACCCTTATCAGTAAATTTGAGTCAATAACCAAAAAATTGGTAATTTGAAAAGAAATTTTTCAAATTTACTAATTAGAGTTTGTCAATTATAATTCAAATTACCAAAAACTATATAAAAGATGGCAAAAAAGCAAAGTTTGTTTACTTGGAAAATTGAATAAATAAAAATGATTTGATATAGAATTAATTTTAAAAATAATATAAGCGATCGACAATTCGTATTTTTTTTAGTAATTAAAATCAATGACTACTTTGAATGATTGGTCGGATGATGCAACTTTTCCGAATATTTTGCAGTTTCATTTTCATCCCGAGATTTTTGAATGCTATTGGCTGATACTGCTGCTGTTGGAGAAATGTTTTTATGTTTTTTACCGCAATGATTTCCATACATTTGGCAGTTCTATTTACTGCATTCGAAGTTTATCGATTTTCTGATTCTTCGACAGTGTTGGCGTTCGACATTTTCCCACATTAGTGCGCTTTAAAAAAATCTTACAACAACTTTCATTTATTGCAATATCAGAAAACGTGGTCAATATTATCAACTTGTAACCTAATATATGCTAACTGTAACATAAACTTAATAAATGATAAGGAGTTGCGGGAGAAAAACGTTTCTTCGACAGATTAAATTAAAGACGTTTTATCGGTGTGGGAAGGGCGATGGATAGTTATTAAGGTGGGAATCTATTTTATTGTTATTAAGATGGGAATCTATTTTATTGTTATTAAGGTGGGAATCTATTTTATTTTTCAAAACTTTTTACTTAAACGAGTTAGAAAATGGATGATAATGAATTTAAGGTATATAGAATTTAGCATTATATTAAGCAATGACCGATGACTTATAAAGGTAAAGTCAGAAGTTATAAATCTTTTTTTATCAGATATTTTTACATGATAGAAATGTCACACTTCATTGATGAGTTCATAAAATGGTGGAGTGAGTTGATAAAATTACTTGATTAAATCATCCAAAAAAAACAAAAATAAAATCTGTAGACGTTTTAAATTTCCATACGGAGAAATCCCGGGAGAAGCAATTCTATTATCATCCTGAAAAATCAATAAACACGCTATTTGAATGGGAAAATTTATTCGCTTACCAAAGAAAATAAACCAAAAAATTTAGAAATGTTAGGTTATTAAAAAATGAATGTTGGAAACTTCCTACATTTATTGGAAGCTTCTTATATTCGTATAAACAATGATTATATTAGATTGAAAACATAATTAAAATCTACTGATTCATATCACAATGAAAATATAATGTGATAATGTAAAATATGAAAAACAAACTTAAAAAGATGAATTTGATAATTTCATTGTAGGAAGCTATAGCTAACTATTTTTTCAGCAAAGCTTAATTTTAAAAATATGAAAATTCTTTTGAAGAATTTTTAATATTTCATAACAATTAAGTGAGAAAAATAAGATAAATAATGAAATAAAATAAATTAGCAACAATAATAATAATAACAAAATATTAGCAAAAAAATTAAGCAAACAAAATTTAATTAAAATTTGGCTTAATTATTTAATTACAAAAATCGCATTAAATTATCAAATATTCCAAATCTACTGAAATAGGAATAAAATTTGGCAAAGTTATAATGCAGCAAATTTAATTCTGTCATTTCTTGCTATTCCCTTCGTCTTCCACTCCTCCCTTATAATAACGATTTTCTATACTCAAATTCTTTCAAATTCCCTTTTCCTTCGCTTTTTTCAACGAATTAATAGATCTGAAATCTCTCAAACTCTTTTCATTTTCTATTTTCTTCTTTCTCTTTCTCTATTTAATTTGAAATGGATTTCGAATTATTATCAATTATCTTATAATCATTAATGTAAACTAACAAAATAATTATTCCTCTAATTTCAACATCCAATACTTCAAGTAATTGCAATTTTTTTTACGATATATAATGAGTGGGAACTATGGTAAATAATAATAATAATAATAACGTGAAGGAGAAAATGAATCATATCTATTTTATATTTCGCAATAATTTAATTAAGAATAGCTATGACAATTCTTGAGAATTATAATAACTTCTTATTTTCTCTGTGAGATTTTCTCGATCGATAATTCTTGGTAAATATTGATGGATAATTGGGAATTATATAATTATAAATATCAATAATAATTCTTAATTATTCGACCATTTTCTATTCCTGCTGTTTGATGCGTAATTAAGAACTTAATTTGAAATTTCAATCTCTTAGAAAATAAATTAAAAGAAATTAAATTGAAAGAAGGCGAAAAAGAGAACGAGAGGAGAGAGAGAGAGAAGATGACGAAGTAAATGTAATAATATCATTTCGATGAAGGAAATATCATTGGCCATGAACCACCGATAAGTAGTTAGTTACCTATGGCAATGTAGTATATGCTTTTATTCCCATATGCTTTCAATATTGAAATTGATTGAAATGAGTATTATAAAATAAAAACTAAAATTTCTTTAATTAAAACTCAAATGAAAAATATGAATTAAATTAAAATGTTTCATTTACTTATATTTCCGAACCTCTTTTTTTCTTTTGGAAATTAACGAATTTGTTAATTACTAAATCGTTAAATATATTTTATTAAACTTAATGGTTTAATTAATTTTTTCATTGGTTTCAGCTTCAAACAATAGCCATTTAATTAGCGAATTGAATTGGGAAAAATTAATCGTTGATAATTTTTTAGCTTAGGTAGATGATGTTATGAATCATATCTGTTAACAAATGATTGATAAGCTAACATAAACTATCGTTACAAATTTCCAGTTGCTGGATCTCTTTTTTAATTTCTTTTATCTATCTTACGAATTATTTCTACCCTTAGCATTTCTAATGAAATTCTATATATATCCATCAAGCATATCAAATATTCATATATTTGATTGGATATACGTAGAACTTAATTAGAAAGATTGGGAACTTTTTTTGAAACATTGAAACAAATTCTATCATATTAATAAATGAATAATAATTAGATCGTTCACACCTGGAATATTTTTTCCTATAAATATATTTCAATCTTAAGGTTAAATTTGAGAGTTAAAATTTTTATAATATCAAATAGCCAAACTGTTAATGGTAATTAAAAGTCGAAAATTTCATAGTTAAACAATACTACGAACCAATAATTCCAAATCATTTATTAATTCTTTTTTTAAACTTACCTTTTCTTTGCAATTCATGAAATGATGAAAGTTAATTCATTAGAACAAGTAAGCTAAATATTTATGTCAGCATGATCTCCTTTGTGGTTAAATATTTATTATTATTATTATTATTATTTATTATTATTATTAATTATTATTATTATTACTTATTAACTCACTTACTATGTGCTAACAGCTTTTTAGCTTAAGAAAAAGGAGATGTATGAGAAATATAAATTAATTTATGTACTCTTGTTGATAAGAACTTGACAACATGTGCTTAGATGAAATTCTTCTTACTTTAGCTATTTTCCTAGCAAATATATGAGAGTATGCAAAATATAAATATATACGATTTGATTAAAATTATCTATTATTAAAACGTCATGAGCTAACTTACTGCGTTATCATTTAATTTATTTAATTTCTTCTTTCTATCAGAAAATTATAAATTTACAGTAATAATAATAATAATAATAATCGTATCATATCATATCATTCAATATTTTATCATTACACAATTCAATATCTTTCGTATTGTTTTTGTTTAGCTTTTATTATTTTTTTATTATCAATTTCTTCGATTGTTATTGAAAAAATCATTGTTATTAAATAAATTTCAAAATAGCAATATTCAAATTCGACATCATTCGTTTTTTTCTCTCTCTTTCTCTCTCTCTCTCTCTCCCTCTTATATTGATTAATTAATTAATAATTAATCAAATTTTAGAAAGAAGAAAGAATGAAAAAATGATTGAATTGTATTTGATATTAGTAGTATTTAATTAATTATTTATTTAATTTAATGCCATTTAAAGTGATCCAACTTTTTTTTGAAATAATATTATTTGAAATAAATTGAAAAAACAAAAAAAAGCATTAAGTTTTAGAAATCTATTTGTTTTAATAGCTATTGAAATTTATTCTAAAATCTATTCGCTATTCTAATAATTATATTTTCTATTCTAATAATCTATTTTAATAATTATATTTTTTATTCTAATAATCTATTCTAATAATTATATTTTCTATTCTGATAATTATATTCTCCATTCTAATAATTTATATTTGATTAGATGTAATAAAACATAACTATTAATATGACGAATGATAAATGAAAAGTTCTCGTTCGTTCAAATTAAATAGATTTTGATATGAAATAAAACAAATAGTAATTAGTACAATGTAAAATAGAACTTATTAAAGAGCACTATAAATTCACTGGCCCTTTTTTCATTCAACAAATATAATTTTTCCCATTATAAAATACTAGCGCAGTTAATTAAATGTTCGCCTAAATGGTCAGTAAATGGTCATTTTCCATCATTATAAACAAAAGTTTGATTATATCAGCAAGAATTAATACCCAAAATCAATCGTATAATTAAGTAAATAATGAAAAGAATTGAGAGAATTTTATGCAATTTATTCAAATTATATATTTTATAGTTTATTTCAAAATATCTATTACTAATTGTGAGGAAAAAAGAAGATTCAAATATGTAATTAAGCTTATTAACATTGTTTTCATTCATTTCTATTCCTTTTTTGATTTCATTAATTTGAGTGAAAAAAATATTTCATATAAAATCGCTCTCTTCACTTAATTTGATAAATTTTTCATTTAATAATCTTTGCATTTAAAATTTTATTTGAAATCTCAAATCTCCTAACAATCAATTTTATTGAGAAGCTATTTGTTTTTATCTTTATTTCACTATCATCTTCAAACTTCTCATTCATTCATCTTTCGTTGATTTCTTTCAATTTCACCGCAAAGAATAATATTTCTTCTAATGAAATCTTATTAGTTGGTTAACGCTACAGGATATTATTTTCTTTTTCACTTAGCATTTTTCAAATCTTCCCATTTCATTAATTGTTCTTGAAATAAGAATTGATAACAGTTTTGTTACCTATATTCTAAATTATCCAAAGCCATCTTTATTATCCCAAGTAAATCATCAAATTTATTTCTGTTTTCTTTTTGAATCCTCTGTCATCTACATGAATCCATTAATTGTTCATGACAAATTTTACAAAACTTCTTCTTCGTTCATTTCGCATAATTTTAATACAGGTCAAAATCTCCTTTGCTTCGGTATTTTTGCGTTCGCTTCGTTCAAATAAATTTCCCCGTAAACGAATTGTCCAGTAACTTTATGGATAATTAATTGAAAAGTTAATGAATACCTTGAAAACTTGTGTAAATATAAACTGCTTATGCTTC